GCACCCCTGCCCTCGGGTCCCGAGAGCCTGCCGGCTTGGCCGGGGGCCCCGAGGTGCTGCCTCCCGAGGAGTCGGAGGGCTGCGCCCGGCCCCCGGAGACGGCCCCCAAGAAACTCTGCGGATACTTAAGCAAGTTTGGCGGCAAGGGGCCCATCCGGGGCTGGAAGTCCCGCTGGTTCTTCTACGACGAGAGGAAATGTCACCTGTATTACTCGCGGACCGCGCAGGATGCCAACCCCCTGGACAGCATCGACCTCGCCAGTGCGATCTTCGACTGCAAGGCGGACGCCGAGGAGGGAACTTTCGAAATCAAGACTCCCGGCCGGATTATTACCCTGAAGGTAAATGGGGCCGTTTCCGCCTTGGAAGCAGGGATGGGCTCCTCGGGCGCGGCCGGGCGCCGGCGGGCGGTCACAGTAAACTTACGGGGAAAATCATCCCCGGTCCTGATCGCCCCGTGAACCCTGGGTGCCCAGGCCTTTGGGATTTCGGACACGCGTTCACGCCCAGCTCCTCGCTGGGTTCCCACAACAAAGGCAGGAGTGTGGGTTCCACAGTTCGGGTCAGGAAACTGAGTCAGAGAGATGGAGTGACCGGCCCCGCCTCGGGCGCCCAGACAGCGTGTGTGGGGCCGGTTCCTGGGATCTGATAGTCTCACTTCCTCTCGGTACCAGTACCGCAGCAGAACTTCGGGGACTTGGGGCTGACGGATAGTCAGCATAGGAGCTTGCAGTCCTCTCTCTCGAGACCTAGATTCTAAATCACTTTCCTTGATGTTCTGGCCGGAAGGAATGGATGCTGAGAAAATGTTGGCAGGGACTGGGAGGTCAACATTGAGGTTTCACCGATCAGCTCAGGTTGTGCATCCGGGCACATCCAAGCCTGCTTCCCCTCCCAGTAGGTTTTTTGTAATCCTGTTTGACCCAGAGAGCCTGAAACGGTGGAAAGGCCATGTGCTTTGACGTCAGACAGGACTGGATTCAAATTCTAAGTCAGCTGCTTAGTAGCTGTATGACCCTGGGCAAGTCCCGTAACCTCTCGGAATGTAGGCAGTTTTTGAGATTTAAAACAAGATATGTGAAGCGTCTGGAACAGCAAAGGCACCTACAAATTGTTGAAATACTCCCAGCACCTAGAATACCACCTGGTACCTGGAGGGTGCTCAGTTAATGTTTGTTGGGTGGACGCACTTGGTGTGGAGCCAAGAGGAGGTGCCCCAGAACTTAATTGGAAAGACAGATCTGCACTTTGAAATAAGAGTTCCAGGATTCACGCTCTGAATTACGAATGTGTCAGGAGACAGCCTTCCCCACTGCATCCCATCTTCCCAGCCCTCCACCCTTACCTCCAGCCAACTGGGCATCTATGGAGGCCCCTGGATGCAGCCCACAGCCTCCGCTCTCCTTTACAGCCAGGCCAGCATGGGGACACCAGGTAAAATAATGGAAACCAGGAACTCCAGGCCAGGCAAGGCAGGCATTTCACAGGTCATGTGGTTTGCAGGTGTCTCCTCCCACAGGTGGAATGCTGTCTACAGGGTCTCCAACACATGGCTTTTACTATTCCATTGATCTGTGTTCAGGCCTGGCTCTGTGCTAGGCACTGGGTATGGAGCCAAATTACACCTACCCCCTGGTGCTCAAACAGCTTAAGCTCTGGTGAGAGAGACTGACGGAGATTGGCACGCACAGTAAAATGTTCTGTTAGAGACACAGGAAGTCTGTACCAGAAAAGTGTGGTGCCAGGATGGGTCAGGTCCACTGAGTGGGAGGGTCCATCCAGAAAGGATGATATCTGAATCCTGAAAGAGGACATCAGTTTTCTACCAGCAGACGAGGGAGAATGTTATTCCAGGTCAAGAGACCCCCATGAGCAAAGGTGGGAAATCATGCTACCACCCAGTGTCCAGGCAGGTTCCAAGAGCTTGTGGTACAGAGGGAGCCAAAAGATGGAATGGGAGAACAGAGGCCCACGGGGAGGGCAGGGCATTATGAGTTATGACAGGGAGCTTGGGCTTTGTCCTGGGGGCTGTGGGAAATTGTCAAAGAGCTTTAAGCAAGGAAACACCATGATAGTAGAATGCTTCGAAAGCTCAGTCTGGCTATTGGGTAGAGAACAAATTAGGAGAAGGCAAGGCTGGGGGTCAGGGAGTCCATCAGGAGGTGATCACGAGAGAATGATGGCTGAGCTAGAGCAGTGACAGAGTGAGACAGTGGCTAGGGATGTGAGAGGGGAGTCAGGGAGGCTCCTGTAACTGACTGACTGCCTGGTTGGTCCAGTCACTGATAGGACTTGAACCCAGGATGAGGAAACAGTAGGACATCGGGTATCTGTCCTCCTTGGTAGACTCTTAAGTTCTAAGAAGATAGAGGCATGTGTGTTGGCTCACCACAGTATCTCCAGTGCCTCCCTCATTCCCTGACACAGATAGCAGGTGCTCAATATATACTTGTCCAGTGATTTAATAAAGTGGGTTTGTTTTGGGGCTGGACTTTGTGAGTGCAAAGTCATGGTGAAGCCCTGGGAAGGCCTGCGGTCTCTCAGGGAAAGTGTATAGAAAAGGAAGATGGTGGGTATCATTTTATCTTATTTGATATCTTTACGATAGACCAAGGGCTTCTTTCTTGGAGCCCCCGTGGCCTCGTGCACACCTCACCTGTGAGCCTCTTAAAAGGAGGAGCTTGCCCTGGTTGCCCATAGCCTGCTGCTTTTCTCATGTGGCCTTGATTGTGAGCAGCTCTGTGAGACTCACCATCCACTCCGAGCGAGCTGCCCAGCTTCTGTGCCCAAACAACGGCAGGCCTTTGCTACATAAGCTACATCTCCTGGCCATAAACTACAACAAAGCTCTGGGAGTGGGAGAAGTGGGAGACCCAGGGTCTGGGACCAACCAGAGCGGCTTCAGAGCCTTAGTTTCTCCATCTGTAGAAGAGGCTGAGCACTCCTGCCCGGCCTCCTCCCTGGAGGATCTGGTGACCCAGTGGATGTGAGAATAGGTGTTTGTACCACCCAGTGGTGGAAGACCAATCAGCATCAACCATTAACTGTTTGGGGGGTGCCTGGAGGGTGCCACTTTGTCGTGATGTGCATATGGCTTTCCAGTCCCCAATCATATGCATGACTTCAGTGCATCCCTAAAACAGAAGGGACTCTCCATTCCACACAAAGTCAGCTAAGACATTGAGATGTTGCACAAAGAGATAGAGACAGTGATGGTATCATGGGCCCCACCCAGGGCAGAATTTTAAAGCTCTTACCCTCTCTCTTAGCACCTCCAAATTCCTTTACCCAGTGAGCACATTTTGAGCACCTACTGTATGTCAGGTACTATGCTGGCCACTTTACCTTCCTTACCTCATTTCATCCTCATAACAACCGTCCTGTGAAATGAGTGTTATCATCACCATAGTACAGCTGAGGACACTGAGGCCCAGAAAGGTTAAGGAACCTCTAAGTGGGAGACCAGAGCCTGATTACCTTCTATGGCCAAGAAGCAGGTGGTGTTTTCTAGGTGGGCACCCAGCCACAGTGAAATTTTTTTCTGGGAAGGAGAGTTACCTAGCTTCCCTTGACCTTCCCACATCCCACATCCAGTGCCACCCTGTGAGCACAGAGCCTTCCTTGCCAACTAACCCTTGTGCTTCTCAGGCCGCCAACAAGCAAGTGATGCTGTACTGGCTGCAGCAGCTGCAGATGAAGCGCTGGGAGTTCCACAACAGCCTGCCTGCACCTCCTGTCGTCCCTGACGCTGCCCTGGCTGGGAATGAGCCTGCCCTGCGCCTTGAGCTAGGTACCCAATGGGCTCACCTCCTGTGCACACCCAGGGCTCTTGGTGACGAAGCCTCACTCCCCCTATTAGGAGTGAGTGGGAGGAGCCCTCTGCTAAAGAAGCAGAGAGCCAGGGATGTGACTCAGGATCAGTTAGGGCAGCCATATAGTGACAAGGGCAAGAATATGGGCTCTGAGGCCAGGCTGCCTGGTTCACATCCTAATCCTGTGTGGTCTTAGGCAAGATGTTTACCCTTCTGAGCTTTAGTTTCCTTCCCTGTAAAATGAGGTCAGTAAAGAAATTATACTTACTTCTTAGGGTTTTGGTGAGGATTAAATGAATCCGTATACCTTAAGTGGTTGGAACGATGCCTGCACATTGTCAGTTCAATAGCTGTCGGCTATTATTATGATGACTATAATGGGAATGTCTTAAGAAATGAAACTTTAACAGAGTTGCTCTGAGGTAGGTTAATGAGAAATTGCAGATATTGTTACTGCTGCTTTACACAAATGCTTTTGTGCTGTGAGTTGTGTAGACCAGTGTTCATTGTATTATCCCTGTTGTTCGCATAAGCCAGAATCCTTCACCCCCATGTGGCCCACAAATAAGTTTCTTGATCCCAAATCCTACAACATCCCAGCAGGGAGGAGTCCTGGAGATCATACCCTCCCACCCCCATGCTGAAGCCAGGAATGTGATTGGCAGATTTTAGAATCCAGACTGACCACCCACAGCTACCCCTGCAGGAGCCCAGAGAGTGAGTTCCCAGTACAAATCTGCAGCACGTCTAAGATGCCTCATCCTTAATTAACAGGGAAGCCAAATGGGTGAGGGCAGGACTGTGGCCAAGTGATCCTAGACCTCCACCCGGATGTTTTTCATGTCCCAAACTGAGCTCATCTGCCCTTGACTCCTCTCCCCCCGTTTTCCTTCCCCCATTTACCCAGTTGCTCCAGTAACCAGGAGCCACCCAGATTCTTCCTGCATCTCAGTTAGCCAGTCATCAGTCACCAGCGCTGGCCTCACCTCCCTGTGGCCTAAACATCAGACTCAGGCCCCCCTTCACTGTTGTCGCCTTGGGTCAGGCCTCAGCTCTTAGCTGGAAAATCATAGAGCAGCCTCTGCTCTGGTGTCCCCATGTCCCAGCCTGCCCCTCTGACCATCTCCTCACTGCAGTCAGAGTGAACTTTCTAAAGTGACAGCCTGAGCTCAGGCTTGGCTCAGTGGTTGCACATCAACCTATGAACCAGGAGGTCAGGGTTCGATTCCCAGTCAGGGCACATGCCTGGGTTGCAGGCTCAATCCCTAGTGTGGGGCATGCAGGAGGCAGCCGATCAATGATTCTCTTTCACCATTGATGTTTCTGTCTCTTTCCCTCTCCCTTCCTCTCTGAAATCAATAAAAAAATATTTTTAAAATAATAATAAATAGAAAAGTCTCTATGTATGGTGTCATATGGGTACTTGATTTATCAGGATGATCACTTAATAAGTTATGTATTGTCTGATCTCTGGATTGTACAGCAGAAACTAATATAATATTGTATGTCAACTGTAACTGAAAAATGATTTAAAATAAAAAATAAGCCTAGCCTGTTTGGCTCAGTTGATAGAGTGTCAGCATGCAGACTGAAGGGTCCCAGGTTCGATTCCAGTCAAGGACACATGCCCGAGTTGCAGGCTCAGTCCCCAGTGGGAGGCATGCAGGAGGCAACTGATCAATGATTCTCATCATTGATGTTTCTCTCTCTCTCTCCCTCTTCCTTCCACTCTAAATCAATAAAATATACATATATATTTAAAATATGTATTAAATAAATAATCTAAGACTTTACTGGAAAAAAATAAAACATAAGTGAGATCATTAAAAAAAAGATAGAAAAGACTATGTTAGTATTTGCTCTATTAGAATTATTTTACAGCTACTTGATTAAATGTGCTGATTTGAAAAATAATGAAGTTATAAAAATTCCATAATTGCACATAAATTAGCCCCAAAGCATAAGAAAAAAAGAACCTGCCCTGACCGGTTTGGCCCAGTGGATAGAGCGTCAGCCTGCGGACTGAAGGGTCCCAGGTTCGATTCCGGTCAAGGGCATGTACCTGGGTTGCGGGCACATCCCCAGTGAGGGGTGTGCAGGCGGCAGCTAATCGATGTTTCTCTCTCATTGATGTTTCTAACTCTCTATCCCTCTCCCTTCCTCTCTGTAAAAAAATCAATAAAAGATATTTAAAAAAAAAAAAAAGAACCTATCTCCGAGTTAGTCACAAACTCTTATTTATTTATTTTAGCATTCTTAATAGTTTTTTTCATATTTTTATTGATTCCAGAGAGGAAGGGAGAGGAAGAGAGAAATAGAAACATCAATAATGAGAGAGAATCATTGATCTGCTGCCTCCTGCACACCCTCTACTGGGGATCCAGCCTGCAACCCGGGCCTGTGCCCTTGACCAGAATTGAACCCAGGACCTTTCCAATTTGCAGACCGAAGCTCTATCCACTGAGCCAAACCAGTTAGGGCAAAAGAAGAAATTTTAGAAAGAAGGTTAAGAAAGCAAGTCTTTAGCTAGGCTCTTGAGACTGGCTAGCCTGCTGTAAAATTTCCCTAGAGAGTTTTGTTCCTAAGACCACCACTGTAACTTTTTGTAGCCCTAATAATTTGCTTAGTAATTATAAAATAAGTATATTAACATATCCTGGGAACAAAATGGTATTTAATCCTTTTTAAAGCCAAAACTACTCATTTGAAATTATATTTCCTAAAGTTATAAGAACCCCTTAAACTGTGGGAAATGGTTGCCTCCAAGGAGTATACTAAAGTGAGGAAGAAGACTTTCTTTGAATACGTTTATACTCTTGAAGATTTTTACTATGTAAGTGCAATGTGTCAATAATAATGAAAAAAACTTTTCTTAATTTATTGATTTTAGATAGAGAGGAAGGGAGAGGGTAGAGTGAGAGAAACATCATTTTGTTGTTCCACTTATTTATGCATTCATTGGTTAATTCTTTTTTTTTTAATGTATTTATTTTTTATTGACTTCAGATTTTGGAGAAAGGGAAAGAGGGAGAGAGGGAGAGGGAAACATCAATGATGAGAGAAAAGCCCAGCCGGCATGGCTCAGTGGTTGCACATCAACCTATGAACCAGGAGGTCAGGGTTCGATTCCCAGTCAGGGCACATGCCTGGGTTGCAGGCTCAATCCCTAGTGTGGGGCATGCAGGAGGCAGCCGATCAATGATTCTCTTTCACCATTGATGTTTCTGTCTCTTTCCCTCTCCCTTCCTCTCTGAAATCAATAAAAATATATTTTTTAAATAATAATAAATAAAGTGACAGCCTGCGCCCCATTCCCCTTTCCTGGCTGCTCACCATGTCCCAGACCCAAATACAGTCCCAGCTCTTTCAGTCCCAGCACCAAATTCAGTCCTTCCTGCTCTCACCTGTGTCTGCTGCCCTAGCACCTGCCTCGTGTCTTATGCTTCAGAGTGCCAGAGGCGTCTCTGCTCTCTTCTCGATGGCCAAGCTTTAGTGTCCCCTCCTGCTCTTGCCAACCTCCTCTTGGAAGCCTTCTGGGATTTTGTCAGCTGGACTCTATATGAGTCCTCAGCACTTTCAGACCATCCTCAAGGCCTGTTGCATTGTGTTCTAAGTAGAGTGTCCTTGTCAATCTCTGCCCCCTAGCCCTAAAGGGTGGGGGCTGTGTCTTTGTCACCTGTGTCCCCATTACCTGGTGCCCTGCCTGCCACATTGGATATTTGTTGCATGAGTGTATGAGCAAATACATTGAATTTTATAATTAAATGAGGAAAGGAATGTAAAGCCTTTAGCATAACGCCAGGCACATAATTAATGCTCACTACATGGCATCTGTCCTAATAATATTATTATATGTGTACATGTACACTGTTATTATTATAACAACTGCATCTTTTTATTGTTAATAATCATCAGTGATTTCTCCTGAGAACCTTCTGAGTGTTTTATGATTGTAAGGGCTTTCTTTGAGGAAGGGTTTATTTTTGCTTCTACATTTTTATTCTACCCTCCACGCCCCACCTCCCAGAGCTAAACAACCCTGGGTGTGCTGGAAACTGCACATTGTATCTGAGTTGACACAATTCCCCATCAGCCTTGGACCAGATGCAACGAGAAGCCCTCCCTGACTTGAGATGGGAAGAACCAGGTTATCAGTTTTGGGATCCCACAGGTTCTCCTGCTGTGCTGAACCCTTTCCAAGTTCTTGAATTCTGGGGTTTTGGCTCAGCACACTCGGCGGGCCTCTTCTGGGCCAGCTCCTGCTGTGGGCATGGGGGCAGGGGAGTGATTGTCATGACCAGGGCGCCAGTCTCCCAAGGAGGACACTGGGGCGATGCAGGAAGCAGGCATGTGGGCTTTCCCTCTGAAGCCTTACTCATCCTGCAGCAAGCCCTCACTGTCCCGGGCCAGGGCCCCTGTGGAACCTTCCCCAGCTTAACCAGAGAGACATTTCTGGAGTCTTGAGCAAGCTGGCAGGCCGTGGGTTGGCAGGCTGGAGCAGGCTGCCCCACCTCTCCAGTGCCTCCCTTCCTGGGAGGAAGCAGGGGCCTGCTGCCAGGGCAATGAAAACCTACCAAGTGGCGTCTGACTGAGTCACAGGCGCTGCATCTTGTACAGTGTCTCAGGACTGCCTTTGAGCACAAGGCACGTTCTCTACAGCTTTTACGCGTTCACACCTTAATTTTATATTTTCCCTGAACATTGGTCTCCATAGAGCCCAGGAAGATCAAGGGGAAGCCAACGGATTGATAATAAAGACATGTTGCCAAAGTAGAAAACATCTCACAAAGCACTTTTATAAATGTTTATCATAAAAATATACATACTACTTACACTGTTGTAACACTTCACATGCATCATCTATCTAATCATCACAACACTCTTATGAGATTTTTACTGTTATTTTCATTTTACAGAAGAGGAAACTAAGGGTCGAAGTGGCTTGAGTCAAACAGTAAGATGTCAGTGCTGAAATTTGAACCCTAGTCTGTAGACTCACACAAGCACGCACCCCATCCTCAAGCACATGAGCCAGGAAACCAGTGGCCCGCCGGTCTAAGCCCTGATTGTTAAGTGATGGCTTCTTCCTACTGGTAATGGGACAGCCTCTACAGTTCAGGCAAAAGGAGAATTACGAGTAAATGCTGTTGAAAATTTTTTGTATGGTCACCTCACTGAGGGCACATCTCCAGGCTGGAGAGGGACCCAGAGGCCCAGACCATAGTCTTGGGTCAATTCTGTTTCCTGAAGGAAGTGCTACCCTTCACTATGGCATCACCATCATGTGCCTCTCGTCCTTTGGACACCCCCTTTGCACTGGGAGCTTGCGCTTTCCCGGGCACCCCTCCCTTCTTAGTACTGTCTGCTTGTCAAAAGTGCTGCTGTAATAAGGAAAAGTGAGGAACGGTGTTGGATCCATGGCTCTGCTAGCAGCTGTGCCACCTTGACCACAAAATTCATCCTCTCTGAGCTGCTGTTTCCTCATTGGTGAAACCAACCCCGTGGTGACATTTAACCCCAAGACGTAGTTCTGTGTGGCCTCAGTAGATCTAGAGCCACAGGTGGAAGTTAATGGAAAACAGATATTGGCAGTAAGGGGAGTACTTGCCAAGACATTAAAATCTTAGACCGATGGTAATTTTTTTATTTGTTGTGATTGAAGGAGAATGAAGATGGTTAAAGTATTGATAAGCAAGGAGACCTTAATTATTCTGAATCAGCTCAAAGTCTGAATCAGACTCCTTTGAAAGATGTGCATCCACAGTATGGGGCTTTATGGTTTTCTAAACATTTTCATATACTTTAACCCTGAAGGAGACAGAGTGTAGGGTGGCTGTCCGGTTTTTAAAATATGGAACCTGAAGCAGAAAGAGTAAAAATGATCAGCCCGGTCACAGCGCCCTCCCAGCAGAAACATGGTTTGGCCACAGGTCAGGCCCTTTCTAGTCAGCCAGGTTTCTTCTGGCTCCTGCTGAAACCCCCAGGGGGCTCTGCCATTCCAGCCAGATCTGATTCCTTCTTAGCCGCCCCATCCCGTTTGTCCTTATCACCTCCTCCTCTGGGACCCTCCTGGTATCCTCAACTCTGGCTCTGGAACCCCTCCCCCCACTCTTTCTGCAGGTCCAAATCAGCTCAGCCTTCCAGGACGCTCGAATGCCCTTCCTCCAGGAAGTCTTCCCTGACTTGAGTTAGAAGGAATTTGTCTCCACCTCCCAGAACTCCCAGCACTTTGGCTGGCCTGCCCTCCAGCTTCCACCCAATTGGTCTTCCTAAAGCGTGCACTTTAACCTGCTGGAGCTTCCTGTGCCTTCTGTGCCTTTGATTATCTCACTTTCTCCAGCCCCACCAGGAAACTTTAGGGTAGACGCCCAAACAGCTGAGAAAGTAAATTGAAGGGAGGAACTCAAAAGAATGAGTGGGTGTGGCCAGGTACCAGCCAGGCTGCCGGATCTGAAAGAGCCTTTTGGGGATTGACAATGTGTTATTTGCCAAGTTAGACTGCAAAGTTTATTTTCAAGTAGATTGAGCAACTCTCCCTGGCCCACACCATTGCATTTAATGTTCTTGCAGATGCAAGGCAAAAATAAATGTCCTCTACCCCTTCACCCTCTCAGTAAGAGCGCCCCAAGTAAAAGGTGTCTGCTGCCCTGCGCGTCTCAGGGCTGCCTGATCAAGATCACGCCATCTCCAAGTGGCCTTGGTTCTCTTCGACTTCTGGTAGCACTCAAAGCTAACTTCTGAATCTTTCATCTCCTCTCTCTTATATCTCAAATAATGTTTCATTAGTCTTGAAACCTTCCTTAATATTAAGCCTTTAAAGTACTCACTGCATAAGAATCACTGTTTAAGCAGAACATTTGAAAAACATAGAAAAGTAGCCATAAGCTTACCACCCAGAGACAGCCAGTGTTAGCATTGTTATGACCTCCAGCCTGCCTCTTTTTTTTTTTTAATGTAAATGATTTTCTGATCAGATAACAATACAAAATGCTTTACTTTGCTTTTTGGTACTCAGTATTGTGACCCTAAAATGTCCCTGTGTTGTAAAATCTGTTTATTAGTACCTACTTTTGATAAATATATATTATTTCCTGTTTATAGATGTAACCCATGTTTACTATAGAAAATTTGGGGGAAAACATTAAACTATAATGAGTAGCCTGCTTACTTCTAATCCCAGCATGCAGTTCTGACCACTGTTAAGATTGCCAAGTATTTCTTTGAAACTCTTCCTATACAATGGAGATCATACTATAACCCTGATTTTTATCTGGCTTTTTCAACCTTAGAGTATGTACCATGCACATTCCCCATGTTCTTAAGCATTCTTCCTTAGCATCATTTTAAATGGCTGAGTAAAATGCCCCTGTCTGAAGGCATCACAACTTATTTAACCTTTCCCCAGATCGTACTTGATGTTAATTTCAGTTTGAGGCTAAACAGTATCAGGATGAACTTCTTGGCTCATAAAGCTCTGTCTGCATTTCAAACAACTTCTTTAGGGTGGATTCTCAGATGTAGAAATATTTGCAGTTCTGTTTTTTTTTTTTTTTTTTTTTTTTTTTAATCCTCACAGAGGATATTTTTTCCATTGATTTTTAAAGTAGAAGCGGGGGCAGAGAAACATCGATGTGAGAGAGGTACATCGATTGATTGCCTCCGGGGCCAGGATCGAACCTGCAACCCGGGTATGAATCCAACTCAACCCTTCAATGCGCTGGCTGACACTCTAACCACTGAGCAAAAACAGCCAGGGCTGTTCTGCATGTTTTTAATGGGTTTCTAGCAAGGCTGTTGCAGCAAAATGCATCATTTTACTGGTTGTAGAGCATTCAGTGAACCACCTGCCTCTTTGGCTGCTGTTAACCCACAAGGAAGGCTTGCTCAGGCTGACTCCCACCTGCTCCCAGTGGGAGCTGAGCCCATAGCACCCACCTGTCTGGTCTTTCCAAGTGCAATGACCCAATGGGTGATTTCCCTTTTCTTTGTTCCCCAGAGCAAGAGGAGGCGGAGCTGGAGGAGTTCCTGCGCCCTGTGAAAACGCCCCCTGGACTTGTGGGTATGGCAGCCGCCTTGCTGCCAGCCCCAGCCATGCCCTTGGCCCTTCAGAATATTTCTCTCAAGCACCTGGGAACCGAAATACAGTAAGTGCTACTGGGGCTGAGGGGCTGGCCAAGATGCAAGCAGCCCTTCTTCAGAGCTCACTGTGATCTGGGGTGATTCCCAGTAGGGAGGAGGGCCTGGTGGGGAGGGTTTAGGGCAGTGGTTCCTAACGTGGGGCACATACCCCACAGGGGGGCAACTTGATTTTTAAGGGGGGCAATTAGAGAATGAGTTGTCAACAGTGAATTTTTTGCATTTCTTATGGTTCTAGGGGCCTCATATACAGTATATAAATATATATTGTGACATTTATGCATTTCAGTTCCTTATTATATATTTTGAAACTTTATTTGCTATTTTTTTCATATCACTTCATATTATTATTATTTTTTAACAATTTCTTAGTGATTTCTTCCTCAGTACTTCAACTGTCCTGTCATTCTTTTATTTTTCTCTTTCATGGATGCCATGTTCTTTGGAAGCTTGTTTAGACCAAGTTAATGTCCTTTTAGGCTTCCTCCACGTGACCAGGAGTTCACTTGAAGATGCTTAGGTGGGGCATGGCCAAAAAAAGGTCGGGAACCACTGGTTTAGGGGCTCTATTTTCAATTCATGCTATTACTTTAAAATATTACATTCATTGTTCTGATTTTAAAAGTAGTGCATATTCTTTTTAGAAATTAGAAACATCCCAAAAGATATAAATTTAACATTATCCATATTCCTGTCACCCAGACAAGCATTCTTAGCATTTACTGTACCTCTTTCCTCCTCATTTTCTATACACATACATGCATAATTGATATCATGCTGAATGTAATGTGGTGATAGCTTCATAAATGTCTATATATGTCAAACACATCAAATTATTCACTTTTAATGTGTAATTTATTAGATGCCCATCATATATCAGCTACTTTTTCATCTAATGGTGTATTATATATACAATTTCCCATCGGCAGGCTTTGTTTTAAATAGGTTATAAAAAGATAGCAATATGGCCTGGGCTTTGGAGTCAAGTTGCCTGGATATGTGTTCTGGCTCCGCCAGTCATGGGCTCTGGTATCCTTGGCAAGTTGTTTGATTTCTCTGTGCTGCACTTAAATTGTTAGTAAATATAAAATTCAGCAATGCTTGCCTTGTATGGTTAGTGCAGTGGTTAACTGGTCAGTGCATGCAAACTGCTTTCGAACTGTGCTTGGCAATGGGTAGGCACTTAAATACAGAGTGGGGCAAAAGTAGATTTACAGTTGTTCACATGGAAAATAATTTATAAATAATAATACAAGAACAAACTTTCACGTACTCACAACTGTAAACCTACTTTTGCCCACCCTGCTGCTGCTATTGTTGCTCTTACTGAAGAAATGGAAGCTTTTGGGAATTCAGACTATACCCAATTCTGATCTGTTTGGGTGCATATTTTTTGTGAGGACTTCATACAAACTGGACCTCTTAGAAAGCAGGACTCGGATCAGAGACCCTGGCTCTGTGTGACTCAGGCCTAGCATTTCCCTCGGTCAGCCTCAGAGTTTGAGTTTGTGTGGGTAACTAGAAGGGTAGTGGTGCTGTTCCCAGGACAGAAGCAGGTTTTAGGGAAAAGACAATGAGTGTTCTTTAGGGCCTAGAGGTTGACTACCCAACAGGCACTGGGTGGAGGACCTGGAACTCAGGAGAGCAATCTGAGCTAGAGAGAGACTTGGGGAGTATGGGGCATGGTTGAGCCCCCGAGCCCCCCCAGTGTGAGTGGACAAGAAGGGTGCCCTGCTGGAGATCTTCTCTAAGGAGGAGCTGGAGAGAACTGTGTGCATTTTGAGCCTAATGGGAGGTTTGAGGGGGCCTGGGAACTTCAGCCATCCCGCTGGCACACACTGTATCCAGGATGGTCTCACCAAGATTAAGCCAGGTTCATGCCTGATGAAGGCCACAAACAACAGAAGTGAAACAGAGAACATGCAGAGACCAAGAAAGGAAGGAAGTTTCAGGGATTAGTCAGTTACCTCTTTCCTGACATTTGCAATAACCCACATAAAATGCAAGGGAACATTGCACGTGTCCTGGGGAGAGCCCAGTGGGTTCAAGGTTGCCCTTGTCTCCTGTATCCCCTGGCCCTGGCTGGTCTTAGAGCCTATAGTTGGGTCTGCCATGAGCCAAGATCATAGTCTGGGGAAGGGAGTAAGGGAGCTTCCAGAGCACCATACTGGGTGCTTCATACTCTCATTGAGTTGTCTGTTAAGTTCTCAGGCTATGGAGTCAGATGTCCAGGTCTAATGCTCAGCCCCACCATTTACCGTCTCTGTGGCTTTGGTTACTTATCCTCCCTGAACCTCAGTTCTCCTCTTGTGCAGTGGAGGTGATAATAGTACTCACTCCATTGGGCTGCTGTGAGGATTAAATGCATTGAATGTATGTGTGTGAGGATGAAATGAGTTGTATTTCTAGTGTTTAGCTTAGAGCCTGGTCTGTAAAGGGCCTCGTTGTTGTGAATACATTCATCATCCCCACTGTGGGTGAGAAAACCCAGACTCAGAAAGGATAAGTGGCTTGCCCATGGCTTTCTTTCCAGGACAAGCCTTTATGACCACTACCTTTCTGCTGACCAGGCATTTCAGACCTGGAGCTAAACCTACACAGAAAATGATCTATGAACTGCTCCAACCCAAGTCAATAAATTTATGAAGTGGCGTTGCCTCTTCCAAGCACAATAGTTTGGCTGGGTAGTGGCCACCTGGTCTGTGTCTGTAGAGATCAGAAGGCCCTTTACTGCCCTGAGGTTGGGGTTTCTATGCCTCTTATATCCCAGGGATGACTGTGAGCTCCCTAGACATGTTGGGGAGGCTGCAATCCCTGGGCAAGGGGGAGTATGGGCAGCCATGATGGTCACCCCACCCAGCCACTTCCTCTGGCTGTAGGGATGTGTCTCTGGATCTTCTCCAAGTCATGTGGCTTGTGGTTTGTGGTTTGTGAGATACATTGTCATGGAGCTCAACACAGGACCCAGCACAAAATGCTACTCAGTAAATCATGTCCCTCATCATTCTTTTTAATATGGCCTACCACCTTTTATTTTAACATGGAGAAAATAAGAACTGGGAAGGGGAAGTGACTAGCCAAGGAGTCGGGGGCTTCTTAAAATAGGACCTTAATAATAACAGAGTAAAAGGAGTCAGAGACCAAATTTTAAAGTCTGATAGAGTGCTGACTTCTAATTTCTTCTCTGTTCTTAATTTAACTTATTAATTTCTCCATTAAAGTAAAATCTCATTTTTTTTGGACCCAACTATACCAAGAAACTGGATTTTCTCTTAAAGATAAGTTTCAGATTAAATAATTATTCTTTGAAAAAAAATCAACAAACTTTTAGCTAAACAGACCAAGAAAAGGCATGACTCAATTACTAATATTAAGAACAAAAGGAGACAATACTACCAACTTTACAAAAATAACAGGATTATAAGGGAATACTAAGAACAATTATATACCAACTAGTTAGATAACTTCAATGAAATAGACAAATTCCTAGAAAGACACAAATTATTAAAACTGAATCAAGAAGAACTAGAAAATCTGACTAGACCTATAACATGTAAGGAGATTGAATTAGTAATCAAAAAACTATCCACAAAAATAAACAAAAACACTAGACCTATAACATGTAAGGAGATTGAATTAGTAATAAAAAAACTATCCACAAAAATAACATCTAGGACCAGATAACTTCACTGGTGAATTCTACTAAACATAAAGAATAATTAATACCAATTCTTCACAAACTCTCCCCCATAAAAGAAGAGGAGGGAACACTTCCCAATTCATTTCATAAGGTCAGTATTATCATGTATTAATACCAATTCTTCACAAACTCTCCCCCATAAAAGGAGGGAACACTTGCCAATTCATTTCATAAGGTCAGTATTACCGTGACACCCAAACCAAACAATGATATTACAAAATTCTTTGAATACCCAGAACCTTCACCTAGAATTTCTTTGTGTTTTTTCTAACACACCTCTTCAGAGATGGTATGGATTTTCAGGAGTCCCAACTTTATGTAAAATTTCAATTTCAACTCTACACTTTGTCCAAACCTTGTTTTCTTCCCTCCCTTGAAACCAAGGCTCTAGGTTTTTGGTATCAACAGTTAATCCCTAATCACAAGAAAAAAATCTGTATGTGTGGGTAATGGATGTTAACTAGACTTATTGTGGTGATCATTTCACGGTATGTACATATATTGAGTAAATATGTTTTATACCTGAAACAAATATAGTATGTCAAACATATCTCAATGTAAAAAAACAACAACAACAAACATACATATATTGAGTAAATATGTTTTATACCTGAAACAAACATAATATGTCAAACATATCTCAATGTAAAAAAAAAACCCAAAAACAACCAACAGTTGATCCCTGAACAGATTTATATCCTAGTCAACTCTCACGACAATAATGCTGCAAACAAACACTTCTAAATTCAGTGCCATGTTAATAAGCATTTATTTTGCACCCATCTTAGTTCAGTTGCTATAGGCTAGGTTCACCTGGTCGTGACTCTAAGCTGGTAAGATCTAGTTCTACCACAATTTCCCACCTTCCATGGGCCACAGCTACCTGAGGCATGTTCCTCAAGAGGGCAAGCCCCACATGCGAACACAGTTTAAGCCTATGTTCATATCACATTTGCTAACATCCCTTTGGTCAAGCAAGTCACATGGCCACACAAAGTTAAGGGGGGAAGGGGAAGCACTCTGTTCTCATGGAGGTGGAGGAGAAAGAGCGAATACTGGCATACTTTGTTTTGTTACACTTCACAGATACTGCATTTTTAGAAGTTTTGTGGTAACCTGCATTGAGCACTTGTCAGCGCCAATTTTCCCGCAGACTCAGCATTTTTTAGCAATAAGATATTTTTAAATTAAAGTATCTCCGAGTGCAAACTTGATCACTAACTCTGCATGATGTTGCAAAAGTGAAGGGAACCACGTTTGCTAAAGAAATTGTGCTGATAGAAGTGTACTTTGTTTTGTTACACTTCACAGATACTGCATTTTTTACAAATAGAAGTTTTGTGGTAACCTGCATTGAGCACTTGTCGGCGCCAATTTTCCCGCAGACTCAGCATTTTTTAGCAATAAGATATTTTTAAATTAAAGTATCTCCGAGTGCAAACTTGATCACTAACTCTGCATGATGTTGCAAAAGTGAAGGGAACCACGTTTGCTAAAGAAATTGTGCTGATAGAAGTGTATTAGCCTCAGAAGCTACTGAGGTGGTTCATTGTATCCTAGTATTGTGTAAAAAAAAAAAAAATAAGTATCTCCGAGATATGCCTGTATTTGCTGAACAGTAATCTAATCTACCTGGTGATCTTTCTCTTTCCTTCCCATTTGAGTTTCACCTCCTTTTTCATATTTAATGCCTGAGGACTTCTCTTTCTTTCCTGGGAATTCAGCTAAATATTTGTGAAATATGTTTTGTATTTATCTAGCATCTAGGTGTTTTGGAATAAGGGTTTTTCAGAGTAATTTGTCCCCCACGTGGGGGTGATATAGCAGAGCCCAGATTCCAGCACAGATCTACAGACTTTCGTTTTGGAATAAGGGTTTTTCAGAGTAATTTGTCCCCCATGTGGGGGTGATATAGCAGAGCCCGGATTCCAGCACATCCTCTTTTTTGACCACGCTATTGCTGCCCTTAATTAAGTGACTTTCCAGTGCAGTGTTTTCTACCTGTTGACTATGACCACAGTGGGACAGATCTACAGACTTTCGCATCCTCTTTTTTGACCACGCTATTGCTGCCCTTAATTAAGTGACTTTCCAGTGCAGTGTTTTCTACCTGTTGACTATGACCACAGTGGGAAATGGCTCAGTACATACACACACACACACACACACATGTTTCACATAATATTAACCTTCTCTAAATGGAGTACATTCTCATGTTTTTCATCTTGTTTTTTTAAATGCTGATCATGATACTAAACTGATTTTATAATCTACCAATGGTTTATAACTTGCAGTTTGAAAAACACTGACCTACAGAACTCCTTTAATCATATTCTCTTCCTTGTTAACTAATTTTGGAATATTTCTACTTTTATATCTTTGCAAAGGGAAACTCAATTGAACTGTCTTTTTATCTGACTCACTATGACTTCCTCTGTAGTCTCTGGTCCTAAGTCAGCCTTTGGTGCTACCTACAAACCAAACAGGTATTGAGATTGCACTCGGGGCACAGGCTACCCCAGTGCCAGGTGCCAGCAGGCATGCAGGTATGTTAGTGCCCAGTTCGTGAAGAAAAGACATCGCTTTATTCAGCCTAGGCAAGTACTTGGTCACAAGGTGGCCCATTCATGGAGTGCAGTGAGCTCCTTGGAGGCTGTGTGGTGACCAGTGAAGGCTTCAGAGAGAACAGACCAGAACAGGGAAAGAAAGCTAGAGAAGGATGTGAGGAGATGTCCGGAACTCTTCTCAGCGGAAGTAGAAGCCACTGATGATATCTGAGCCAGGTAGTTACAAGACCAGATGAAGGTTTTAGGAAAGTTAGTTTGGCAAGTCCATTCAACATTTATTCAACACATACATAGCAAGGGTCCTCTATATTTCAGGCACAGTTCTATGCATTCAAAGTACTTTGGTGAACAAAACAGACAAACATTCCTACCTTCAATGGCTTATACTCCAGCTGCAGGATTGGGGCAGGGGCATCAGGCTTATATTGTTTATAAGCAGCATTGTGGACGGTGATAAGCAATGAAATGATGAAAAGAAGAGGGGTGAGGGGGATCGGGAGTGGCTCAGGTCGGGTGCATCATGCAGGGTGCCTGGAGTCTTGCAGACTGATCAGGCCATGCCTGGGGGTAGGATACAGCCTGAGCTCTAGCACTGACAGCGGGGAGGAGAGGGGCAGAGTGGCAGGGCTGTCAGCCTCATGCTCCTCTGTTTCCCTTCAGAAACACGATGTACAACATCCGAGGCAACAGGCAGGCCCAAGGAACAGGCCATGGACCTCCAGGGGAAGATCCTCTACCGAGCAGCGAGCCTCAGAGGGAGGAGCGGCCCTCATCCCCTGACCCCAGTGCCCCAGGTGAGCCTCTGCCCAGGGCTGAGCTGCCTTCGGAAACTGAGTGCCTGTCTCCCCAGAAACCAGCATGTGTGCTTTTCTGTCAACCATGGGACTCTCCGGGGCACTCCTTCTGGCTTTATGGGTCTAATAGCAATGATTGATTATTATTGTTGTTGTGAAATATACATAACATAAAATTTAACCCGTTTCAGGGGTACAGTTCAGTGGCATTAAGTACATTTACATTCTTCTGCAAACACCACCCCCATCCATCTCCAGAACTCTTCATCTTCCCAAACTAAAACTCAGCCATGATTCTTGAAGTAATAAAGGAAAATCTCACTCGCTTTCTTACTTTTTTTTTAATTTATAAAGAAAGAATATAAAAATGCCTTTCTATGGCGATTAAAATTCGTCAACTCTGCCTGAAGAAGCAGAGCAGATGGCCTTTAGGTCCCATCCAGCCATTACATAGCATTTGATTGTTTCTTTCACAAAATGTGAGTGACCCACACCATGGGCGGGGGTGGGGGGTGGGGAGGTTGGCTTCTTCGATTGGTGCCCTTATAACTTAGAAACAGTTGGGAGAAAACTGACTGAGGCAGCACTGTGTGTTCTCATGGCAGAGAGGACGCCTGGGCCATGTAGAAGTGACTCTAGGAAAGGTGCCCCATGGGAGCAGCGCCTGGGGACACCCCGCAGGTCACGGGAACAGTGCAAGAGAAGATCAGGACCATAGCGAATCAGTAATAATAATGAAACTAGCACTTACATAGAGTAGTTATTTGTGCCACTAAGCACTTTGGGATGGGGGTGAAGGGGGTAATAGTTGTATTAGGATATAATTCACATACCATACAGTTCAGTGGCTTTCAGTATATTCACAGAGTTATGCAGCCATCACCATAGTCAATTCTGGAACAGTTGTAATTACCCCCAAAGGAAACCCTACATCCCTCAGCCATCAGTCCCAGTCTCCACCTCCCTCCAACTCTAGGCAACCACCAGTCTACTTTCTATCTCTGCGGACCTGCCTATTCTGGAGAGTTTCTACAAATGGAATCGTACAGCATGTGGTCCCTGCTGTCTGGCCTCTTGCACTTAGAACCTTTCAGGTTTCAGCCATGTGCACTAATCACTTTACTTGCAGAAGCTGTTTAAACTTACAGCAACCCGAGCGAGCGAGCGAGCTACTATTGTTACTAATGTTACTCATTTAGTAAGCGAGGGAACCGAGGACAGGAAAGTGGAGTGACTGGCTCACGGCCGCACAGTGAGTGACAGACCAGGATTCAGGCCCCGCACTCTGGCCCCATGCCGCGGCCTGAAGCCTCCTTTTCTAAATCAGTGATTTTTTTTAAACTACATCTTTATTTTCATGAAATCTTGATGCCATAAACAAAATCTAATATACAAAGCAGATAAAAGCTGAGTTGAGTTAGGGGTGGGAGTCTGGGTTCCCCTCAGCCCCTCATCCTCCGCCCTTCCCAGACAGCCATGAGGCACTCCCATGAAATCCTAGGGCACTGACTAGAAACGCTGTCTTGGGCCTGGTTTTCTCCAGCTATAAAATGAGCTCGGTGATCCCTACGCTTCCTGCCTGCAGGGCTGGTGGGCAGCAGTGTTTCAGAGGTCAGCAGGGCTGAGCTGCACAGTCTGGCTCTCCCAGAGCCTCTGGCCAGGAAGCGGTGGCCTGGCATTCCTCAGAGCCCTGTGGCTGCTCTATCCTCAGCTCACCCAGATTTCTCTGAAGTCTGGAAACAAGACTGATCTGTTCTTATACCCAACAAGTTCAAGGAGTTTCTGGTTCCTGTCACCTACTAGATCTTTATCTCTTCAAACCCGTTTGCCTGTCCCTCAGCCTGGGCCCCAGAAGAAAGATGCTAAGTCATTCAGCTTGTCCTCCAAGCCCTACCTGTCCCCTCCCTTGGGATCCCACGCCGCATCCTTATTTTTCACACCTTAGTCTCAAAAGAATTGGGGATAGCTTATTAAAATGCGTATCTGGGGAAAGAAAATTACTTATTAGGGTTAGAAAATTTAGATAAGATCCTTCAGAGTAGCCAAGGGTGGGCAGCAAATGTGGCTCTGAGCTGCTCAGCAACCATGCAAAGATGGAGATACAAGTGGTTAGCTTATTCCCAGGGTCCACAAGAATAAACACATATTTTCTTGGAAGAAGCAAAGCCTTTTCTGGCACTGAGGGCTGAGGAGAAATTCTGCTGGGGCCTCATAACCGGCATGATGTGTCTGTGCCATGTAAACAAGATCCTCAAGGTCCCTTAACCATATAATCAGGCCATTAAATGTCCCTGGTTGCCAACTGATGGCAGAACCCTAAAGCAAAGGCTGGGGACAGGGCAGGACAAGGCGGCTTGAGTGAGTGGATTTGATTTAAGAATAAAATTTGGCTCTGGTCGGCAGTGGTTTTCAGTAAAGAGCTGGATAGTCAATATCTGAGGCTTTGTGGGACATGTGGTCTCTGTTGCAAGTACTTAGTTCTGCCCTTGTAAAGTGAAACCAGCACAGACAGTGCCCAAATGAAGGGGTGTGGTTGTGTTCCAATAAAACTTTATTTACAAAAGCAGGCTGTGAGCTAGATTTGGCCTGTGGGCCATCAGTTGCTAACCCTGGCTCTAGAGGAAATAAAAGGACTATGCAGCCTCGAGAGAAATATGTCTCCTAACTTTGCTTATAGTAAGAATCAAAGAAGAGTTTGAGCTGCTCTCTGGGGAAAGAATGCAGAGTACAGATATTCCTATCAAGAGACAGGTCTTTGAAAGCTGCTCAGAGGGTAGAGGTGGAATCCTGACATAAGAAGTCATTCCTTCAGGGCTTGTGACTGAGGGGATGACCACCTGGCAAACATAGCCCGTGCAGGTAGGGATCTGAGAGGATGGGCTAGTACCTGGCCAGCACAGTGTAAATAATGCTTATTAGTCCAGCCTGTACAGGCTGCATCAGCATCACCTAGGAATTAGAAATGCAGATTCTCAAGCCCCACCCAGGCCTGTTGAATGAAGAGCTCAGGGTGTAGGGTCCCACAGTCTGCATTTTACCAAGCCTTCCAGGTGCTTCTGCAGCAAGCTCATTTGAGAACTGCCAAGGCCCCGGTCATAACCTCTGTGTTTCTCCTCTTGATCAGGGAAAGATCCAGGGGAGACTCTGAAGCCTGCACCCAAATCCTCTCTGACTGCCAATCTCATTCAGAAAGCCAAGCGCCAGAACAACACCTTCCCGCTCTTTGCTGAGGGACTCACACGGAACCGAACTGCCCAGGAGAGAGCCTTGGCCTTGGAGCAACAGGTTCTGATGCTTACCAAGGAGTTAAAGTCTCAGAAGGTGAGCTCTGCCCCAGGCTCCAGGAGACCTCTGGGTGTAGGCCAAACTGTGGGTGGTTGAAAATGCTGGCTGTTGATTACTCAGGGACACGCTGTCACTCAAACAGAAAGCCGCTAAGGGTAGGGTCTCTGGAGACCTACTTTAATAATTGCCTCTCAGGCCCCTCCTGAAGGACTGTGCATGGTCTGCCCCCACACCCGAAGAGGGACAGTGTGGAGGAGGGTGACCTGGATGCAGGGTCCTGGGAAGTGCCACCAAAGGAACCCGGGATCTTCACCAGGCAGCTGGTAACTGGGCAGGATCTCTGAAGGACTGTCACAGGACAGAGGGAACAGGCAGTTCCTTTGGCCCTGGAGCTGAGTCAGGCCCAACAGGGAACAATAGCAGGGAGGAAGATTTAGGTTTAATAGAGAGAGAAGTTAATGACAGCAGTTAAAAAAAGAAAGCTGCATGTTCATTGTAGAAAACAAATCACATGTATACACAGACATGATAATCATTAAAAAGCCTACAACCCAGAGGGTAGATCGTGTTCCCACCCAGGGCTACCTCGGGAAGCAGTGAGGGTCCCATGGCAGGAGGGCAAGGGTGGCTGCAGCACCGGCAGCAGCCTCTCTAGCTAGAGCAGTGCCTGATCCCTGGACCAGCACAGCTTAAGTCCCAAACCCAAACCCAAGCCTGGGTTTGAAAAGAAATCTGGACTGTAAAGACCACTTCTCCTTTCACCATATCCTACCCTTCTTTCTAGGAAATCTGGGTAGCCTCCCTTGACTTTGGCCAGTCCTTCTAAGGCATTACGAATTGTCAGATGAAGCTGAGAGGCCCTGGGACACCGAGATTTCACTTAGGTTTGCCCCTAACAGCTCTGCAGCTGTGGAGGACCGACCATTCTTCAGTAAATGAAGGCGAGGTCTTGGAGATTAGTAAGGGTCACCCAGGCTGAGGGCAATTCCCCTGCAGTCTGAGTGAAAATGTCAGGAGGAAGTTGCTCAAGCATTAAAGAATTAGACTTTGTTACTGGTTCACTTGCCAGCAAACCTCATTCTTGTTCTTGAGCAGGTAGTAGGAGGAGAGCAAGTCTTGTGGGTTAGCTTTTGACCCACAATATGAATGGATTTGCATGCTCTCTGACCCATCTCACAAATGCTCTTTGGTTTAGTGCCGTGGTCGGCAAACTGCAGCTCGCGAGCCACATGCGGCTCTTTGGCCCCTTGAGTGTGGCTCTTCCACAGAATACCACGTGTGGGCGCGCGTACAGTGCGATTGAAACTTCGTGGCCTATGCGCAGAAGTCGGTTTTCGGCCTGGGCGAGTCTATTTTGAAGAAGTACTGTTGATATTTGGCTCTGTTGCCTAATGAGTTTGCCGACCACTGGTCTAGTGGGTAATTCAGAGCACAGGCATTTAAATAAGAGGGTGCAGATCCCAATTCAAGCCCTGAGCAAGTCTCTTAACCTCTACAGCCTCAGTTTCCTCCTATATAAATGGAGTAATAGCCGTGTTTCCTGGAGAGGCCTGTGTCCAGATTCATAAAGCCTGACTGATGCCTGGCCAGCAGTTGCCCAGCAGATTCGGGCTTCGATTATTTTGACTACTGCTAGCATTCCCTGCCTTTTTTGTTGATTCCTTCTGGCCTTTGAAGGAATGACACACATGCCTGAGGGGCTCTGAGAAGAACGCTCCTGAGGAGTTCTGGGAATCAGACCTGAGCTGTTGAGGGCTTCCAGGAAATGTGCTTGTGGGGCATAGCAGTGAGGATGGAGGGCCGGCCTTCATTCACACTAGGCAGGGGGATCCCCAGCCCTGCCAACTCTGGGGTTTCACCTGCAGCCCAGACACCAAAACCAAAGAGGGGAAGGAGAAAAGGAGACCAACTCTTGGCTCAGAGGGTGCGGAGGAGGCTGGCACAACCTTGGGATGCTGAGCCCTAGGGACTCAGAAATGCAGGTTGGAGAGCAGCTCTCCATCTCACCCTCCCAGTCCAGTCCTTCAGCTGGGAAAACCGCTCCCTGGGCCTCGGGGCCCACATCTACCAGATGCCCCTCCCATGGCCCTTCAGTGGGAAGGCACTATCTTTCTACCTGAGGCTACAGGGGACATGGGAGCTGGGGTCATGCTCTAGCTCAGACAGCCAGGTGGCCATTGCCAGTAACTTGAGCAATCCTTTACAGATTTGTATCTCAAATTCTGTTGAATCTATGGAAGGCCCTGGTCTTTTTCTCCAGGTTCAGGGCTCTCATCACAGGCTGCCTCCTCCATGTTCTCATGGTACAGCCCAGTATCAGACACAACTGCTCTTCAGAAAAAATGGCACGAACTTTCTGGGCCTCCCTGTGTCATATTAAACCACAGGGTGACTCCAATACCCATTAAGTCATTATCTACCCCAGGCCCCTGCAATGCTGGCCCCACAGAGATTTGGACTCAAAAAGATAGTAAGTACCAGATGGCTGCTCGGCCAGGTGACTCCGGCTCGGTGCCCTTGGAGGCAGCAGGATTGTACCCAGCCTGAAGGCCGTCTGCTCTGGCAGGTGGAAGGCTGTTGTTTGTGGTGCTGTTCACCATCTGTTGGCTGCTGGGAATGAGGGGCTCCTCCTGGGTCCTGCCTGGAGCCCTGTAGAGCCAACCTAGCTCACGCAGGATGACTTGGTGAAGGCATGTACTTCGTTTAGGGAATAGTGGGGGCAAAGAGCAACACATAATTTCCCTAGAGCCCCAGCCAGATTTCAGAGTACACTCCCACTGTACAGGATGCAGACGTTAGCGTGCACTCCACATGTTACCTGTTCACCGTCAATAGACACTGGGTGGGTTGTTTACACCTCTTGGGTATTGTTAATAATATTGCCATGAACATGGGTTATTTCCATTTTTAAAGAAATTGAAAGAAGCATTTCAATGTAAAATTCATGAACAACTCATCATAAAGAAGTGAGGGATCCTGGATTAGGAGTTGGGAGCACTCTCTCATAGTGTGCTTTTCCACTCGTGGAGATCTACCACGTCCCTTTAGTCCTCTCCCTTCTCCTTGCTTCAGTCTCTATTTGCCTTCATCCCCCACCCCTTCCTTTCTCCCTATCTCACTGTGGGGCAGGGATTCTGGGGTGGGAGGAGAGCCCCCTGGGCTGGTGTCTTGGTCTTGGATTCTGAGAGCCAGATGTGGGGAGGAGAGACAGCTAGATGTAATGAAATGGGGCTTCAGAGTTGACTCTCCCAAAACCTGGAGGGAGGGGGCGTATACCCACCTGATTCTGAGCCTCAGGCAAGTCTGAACTGTGGTCTGTTGGTATTTCACAGGCAGTTACCAAGGTGATCTCCAGTACCCACCTGATTCTGAGCCTCAGGCAAGTCTGAACTGGTATTTCACAGGCAGTTACCAAGGTGATCTCCAAATCTCAGCTGAACCAGAAAATGATTGGGCTTCTCAGTTTATCCTGGAGCCACAGGAATGTTAATCTCTCTCAGCAGGGCCCTGGGAAGTGATTTCTTCATTCCTGACATTCTGGTTTGGTTTGCAACCCTCCCCCACTTCCTGCAACACCCAAGCTCCTCACCTGCTCTTTCATTCAGCTGGGGCTTTGCTTGAGCTGTTGATTCAGTTGTCTGGAACAGCGGTTGCCAACCGGTGGTCTGTGAGGTCCAAAAGGTTGGCAACCGCTGGTTTAAGGAAACCTTTGGAGCAGCGGTCGCCCACTGGTGGTCCGTGAGGTCTGAAAATTTGGCGACTGAAACTGGTGGTTCGTGGACCACTGGTGGTCCATGAGGTCTGAAAATTTGGCGACTGGTGGTCTGGAAAGCCTTCCCAGCCATCATCTCCCACCTGCTGACCCTCATCTCCCTCCTGCTGCTTGGCCATCTCTGGCCCTTTCCATTCTTTAAACTGACCTGCCTTTCTGTAGAAAGTGCTGATCTTCTCCCCACCGCCACCCCAAGCAGAAGTCATTGCTCTCTGCTCTGGGCCCCCACAAACACCTTGCTTCCCACTGTTGCAGGAAATCGCTCTATTAGTGGTTCACCTTCGCTCCCACCTGCCAGGCCCTTCTGAGCCCCAGCAGTTGGCCCAGGGCTTTGTACTCAGTGGGTGCTTGATGAAGGTTGGATGGAAGAGAGAAGCAGAGAAGGGACAGTCACTAGTACTGAGGTGTCAGAAGATGCACACTAATTTTGTCTTGTCATTAACTTATTACATAAAATCATGATTTGGGGCAGTTCTCCAAAATAGAATTGTTCTTAGCCAAGAAAAAAAAATTAAGTGCTTTAACATAGACAGTTACCACCTGGGAGCTCAGCATGTCCCCACCTATTGCTAGTGGAAGTGGGCTTCTTGCAATGTCACGAGAACATGAAATTTCTGAGACTTGCACAGGAGAATGAGTGGCATTTATTTGCACTCATTAAACCCCTGAGTTTCCAAAGTCTCCTCTCCTCTGTCCACCATGGAAAAAGTGTAGCTGTGTCCTTAGCAGAGCTAGGATTAAAGCTGTTGCCCAAAGTCTCTGTCCCACATTTGCACAGTCCACTCCAGCATCAGGCTAGCCCAGTGGTCGGCAAACTGCAGCTCGACAAACCGCGGCTCGCGAGCCACATGTGGCTCTTTGCCCCCTTGAGTGGCTCTTCCACAAAATACTGGCTCTACCACAAAATACCGACTTCTGCACATGGGCCACGAAGTTTCAATTGCACTGTACGTGCGCGCCTGCACGTGGTATTTTGTGGAAGAGCCACACTCAAGGGGCCAAAGAGCCACATGTGGCTCGCGAGCCGCGGATTGCCGACCACGGGGCTTGCCTAACTTGTGTTCCAGCTGCAGTCCATCAGTCCATTGCGTATGTGATCCACATGGCCCAGGACCATGCAGCTTCTAGGAACACGGGTAAATGCAGGGAAACAGAGCAAAACCAGAGGAAGAAGAGAGAATTCCTTTGGGGATTTTAACCTCAGATTTTGAGTCTGCAGCAGCCCCACCCCCTCTGGCCAGTGATCTGTGTTCCAGTGATCTGTGTTCCAGGTTAGACTGACAGGCTCCTTCCCTGGGTCACCCGACTTTACTGCCTGTGCGTCCATCTCCCCAAGTGGTTTTCAGGGAATGAACCGGTGGTTCCCTGGGGAGTGTGAAGTCACAGCTTCCTGGTGAAACTGCCCAGATGGCCATGCTTATAGTGTCTGGCCTTCCCTTTGCTCCTTTCCTATTATTAATAACTAGCTAATTACAACAGTGTCTGATGCGGTTAACGTGTCTCCAGGAAACTGTGTTTTTCCAGATGAGGCTGACACGGAGCACAGCATTGGCCTAAAGACCCTCCCTACAAGGTTCATGAGGTTCGAGGTTCATGTGGTGCTGGTGGCTGGGCTGCCTGACTTCTGATCATCTGATCCTGGCCCTGAGTGAATCCACACCGTGCTTTGGGGCAAGAGAAGTCCTGGGGAGGGTGAAGGCTCCCAGTCATGGAGAGCCAGGCCGAGCTTGAGTTTCCATGTGAATCACATGCTTCGCCAAGGAGTAAATCGAGGTCTGTTGCTCTCTAGCGCTCCCTTGCTCCAGCCTTGCGGGCATCGCTTGGTGGGCTTCGGGAGCTGGGCACAAATGGATTGAATGAGGCTTTCTGTGTGTGGCTTAGCGTGAGGATTGTCAGTGTGTTTCCTCTCTATTGCTATCTCAGCTCGCAGCAACAGCTTGGGTGCTCTATTCAGAAGGATTCTGAGGCCTCAACTCGGCTTAGCAGGAAGGAGTATTGAGGTTATTACACCTGCCACAGGAGTGAGAGGAGGGAAGAGCAGTGCCTGTGTGCCACGGCACCCCTGCTGTCATTACTGACCAAGCACAGGCCATGGAGTCTGGATAATTTGGGATTAAATTCCACTCTGCTCTGCTGGGCCTCAGTGTGTTCATCTCCGAAATAGACAGATGTTACTCAGGATATGGGCTCAGCTGCTGTAACAAAGAAGCTTCAAAGTACTATGGCCTAAACCCGTGGTCGGCAAACTGCGGCTTGCGAGCCACATGCAGCTCTTTGGCCCCTTGAGTGTGGCTCTTCCTAAGCCTTAGGAGTACCCTAATTAAGTTAATAACAATGTACCTACCTATATAGTTTAAGTTTAAAAAATTTGGCTCTCAAAAGAAATTTCAATCGTTGTACTGTTGATATTTGGCTCTGTTGACTAATGAGTTTGCCAACCACTGGCCTAAACCAATTTGGAAGTTTATTTCTCTCTCACATTCTCATGGAAGAGCCCAGAGGTAAGTGAGCAATTCTGAGCTGGTAGGGCAACGTTGCCATCCTCCACATGCAACTTCTGCTGGGAGCCCCACATGGCTGCTGTAGTTCTTGCCTTTTCCCAGCCAGAAGAAAGGGGAACTGGACCAGAGAGCATAGGTGTAGTGGTTTCAAAGGTATCTATGACCCAGAGCTGCCCACACCCAGTATAGGTTGAATTGTCACTTGGTCACACCCAGCTGTAAGCTTAGCTGGGAAATGTAGTCTTGAACTGAGAAACCACGTGTCAAGTTAAAACTCTTGAGCGGAAAAAGAGAGAATGGGGGCTGAGATGAGATGATCAAGAGGGTGATGCTGGCCACCTCCTAGGGCCGTGAGGAGAGCTGGTGAGAACATGCTTCACCTCTGGCGCCTAGTAGTCCTTCCCTGTGTTCACAGGCACTTTGTTTCCCTGTCCAGGAGCTGGTGAGGATCCTGCACAAAGCTCTGGAGGCCGCACAGCAGGAGAAGAGGGCAACCAGCGCCTACCTGGCAGCGGCGGAGGACAAGGACCGGCTGGAGCTGGTGCGGCACAAAGTGCGGCAGATCGCGGAGCTGGGCAGGCGGGTGGAGGCCCTGGAACAGGAGCGGGAGAGCCTGGCACAGACGGCGAGCCTACACGAGCAGCAGGTGCAGGAGCTGCAGCAGCACGTGCAGCTGCTCATGGACAAGAACCAGGCCAAACAGCAGGTCATCTGCAAGCTGTCTGAGAAGGTCACCCAGGACTTCATACATCCCCCTAACCCACTCCTTGTGCCTCCAGACGCTGCCAACAGGGACTTCCTGAGCCAACAGGAAAAGATGGAGCATCTGAAGGTAGGGCCATGCCCTCCAGGCCCAGCAATAACCCTTACCGCTGGAATGTTCATATTTGACATAGATGTTGGTGGAAATATTGCTACATACTTCCTGACCTTCTTAACCAGAAGGCCCAATGCAATTTGATCTTTTCATGGCGTCCTAGGCTGAAAAAGAAAGGTATCGCTAACTTAGCAAATTAGGAAGAGCCCAAGATGGGTCAGAACTCCTGAGGACTAGACCACCTATACACCTGAGGCCTGGCCTGGTCAGATTGCTTGGGTGTCACGCTGATGCCCTGGGGAGCCCCCATGGTTCCAGGGCGGCCCTCCCCAGCAGTCCCGCACACAGAACAGGTGACCTGTGGCTGGCTGTGAGCTGCTCACAATGAGGCACTCATCCCTGCACCTATGCCACATGCTTCACCTGCATCCCTTCATTCAGTCCTCGGACCAGCCCTGTGACGCTGTCACTCATGCGCTCCATGTGCTGAAGCAGTGGGGGAATTGGAACTGGGTTGGAGCACACGTTTCTGACTAGTCTGTCTGCTCTGCTGCCGTCCAGCTTTGCCTCCTCTAGCTACTGCCTCCCCCTCGCCCAGGCTGTGGCCCTCACCAGGGAAAGGCTGCCCCAGCCCATAGGCTCCAGTTGTAGCACGGGAGGCAGGAACTTTATTTTAGTCATTAATGGGCTGCTGCGTCCTCTCTAGAGGGTAGTGACAAGAGCTGCCAAACAGTTGGAGGCCTGAGGCTTGGGGTAGGTGCTCACAGTCCCACTGTTCCTGAAGGCAGTCAGACAACCAGCCAGGCCTGCCCCAAACCCTGCCACTCGCAGCCACACACGTATACATATGTATAACGGGGAATTCCTGTGCTGCTGCACCAGAGAACTATTGTGGGGAGCAGGAGAGAAATCCAGGTGCTTTTGAGGGGGCAGATGAGAGAAATGGACTCACTGCATGCTTCCCGCCTGCCCCAGAGAGCTGCCTGGAAGCCTGGACTCACCTAGGAGACTGGGCGTGCCTCTGAATCTGCATGTGCAGGAATTTATCAGCGAGCCCAGACACGAGGAGCCTCTGGTTATGATTCACATCAACCAGACTTGTATTTGTAGCTGATCCTCAGAGGCCCAGCATCTTGTGCTAGGAAGACTTGCATGTCTAGAGTTCTTAGCTGCCATTTTCCTGCTTGCCCTGTGATTGAGAACAGCCAACTTTAAGAAAATGCCCCCTTATTGTTGAAGCTGTTTGATAGTAGAATCATCAACCTTGAATATCAGAGCTGGAAGGACTCAAAAATCTAGTCTGCTCCCCTTCCCCCCCCCTCCACTCCCATTTTTGGCAGAGACAGCGAGTCCTGGAGAGGTGAAGGGACTGGTCCAGGGTCACAGAGCACAAGCAGCAGAGTCACAGCTAGATCCCAGGTCTCCCCACACCCAATCCACTGCCTTCCCCACTAGCACACTAGTCCACACAGCATTCCCCAAAGAAATTTCCCAGGTTCCTGATCCCTGTGAAGGCAGGCAGGCAGACTCCTTCCTCCGCTCTGTCCCCTGTCCCCTTTCTCCACTTGTGTCTTCCTCCTTTGCTTCACTGGTGACTGTCATGTGGCTTTTCTCTCCTCTGAGATCTCTGTTTCCTCCCTGCAGTTCTGAGCCAAGAAGAACACTTCAGGGAAGGGCGATGAGCTGAATGGAAACACTCCACCCCACACCCACAGCTGTTCCAGGAGTGCTCAACCCTGCCCTCCCTCTCTACCCGACGCAGCATGTCCCTGGGCCTGGGATGAGGAAAGAGGGATGGGAACAGGAGGCAGGACCAGGTGGTGGTGCAGAGCACACTCCAGCAGCAGACTCCAGTGTCCTTTCACCCGGCAGTAACTTTCGGTTCCTATGGTGGACCGAACACAGCTAGGTTTGTTCTACCTCCCTCCGTCCCATCTGCATGACTGAGGAGAACTTACCTCTCTGTGCTTGTTTCCTCATCTGTAAAGCGAGAGTGTTAGCACTTCAATACTTAGCCCACAGCGCTGTGGTCAAGATGAAATCATGTGCAATAATGAACGTGGGGAGGATGGGCCTGGCACTTAGTAGGAACTCAGGTGGCTGGTGGTTCTTCTCTCTTGCCTGGAGTCTTGTTCATTTTCCCAGGCACTTGGGAAGAATCCACAGTAGCAGCAGCCAGAGATCTCTCAGCAGGTGGAGGGGAGTGCAGTGGGTACAAGGCACCCTCAGAGAGGTGAGAACTCCAAGAGGGAGATGGCATGTGCACTGCACTTGCCCCATGCCATCCTTGCACCAAAGGGTCTCAGGTCTGATTCCCAGTCAAGGGCACATGCCTGGGTTGCAGGTTCGATCCCTGGCCCCAATGGGGGTGCATGCAGGAGGCAACCAATTGCTGTGTCTCTCACATCGATGTTTCTCTGTCTCTCCCTCCCTCTCTTCCACTCTCTCTAAAAATCAATGGAAAAATATCCTCGGGTGAAGATTAACAAAAGATAAAAATAAAAGAAAGGGTGAGTAACTTTTCCCAGGCTCAGTAGTGAAGGCAGGATTTGTATCCAAGCAGTGTGGCCCTGGAGTCCATGTCCTGGCCGCCAGGCAGCACTGAACTCGGGCAGCACCTGCGTCATTGACACGTTGTTGTCATACCACCGGCTAGGAGAGGTCAGACCAACCTGCGTGCATTCAGCCAGAAGAATACCAAGGACAGCCTTGAAGGGTAGGACTAGACTTTTGATTTCCAGGTGGATTCCAGTGGGGAGGGAGCTAAGTGCAATGGTTAGGACTTGACTTTAGAATCAGACAGACCTGGGCTCAGTCACACCCTGCCTTGTACCAACTCTGTGTCCTCGGGCAACCAACTCTTCCTTTCAGAGCCTGGAGACTTCATCTGTGCTATTTTCTTTTTTTCTGTTAATCCTCACCTGAGGATATTTTTCCATTGATTTTTAGGGAGTGTGGAAGAGAGAGGGAAAGACAGAAACATCGATGTGAGAGAAACACATTATTGGTTGCCTCCTGCATGAGCTCTGACCAGGGCCTGGGCAGGGGAGGAGCCTACAACCAAGGTACATGCCCTTGACTGGAATAGAACCCGGGACCCTTTGGTTTCCAAAATGACACTACCCACTGAGAGAAACCGGCTAGGACTGTGCTATTTTCTGAGCTGCTGGGAGGATTATATGAGATAACGTGCTCAGTGTGGGGGTGGGGAGGTGATGGCGCAGGGAGCCTGTATGGCCTGTGTTCATGAGTCTCTGACTCTCTAGACCAGTGGTTCTCAACCTGTGGGCTGCGACCCCTTTGGGGGTCGAACGACCCTTTCACAGGGGTCGCCTAAGACCATTGGAAAACACATATATAATTACATATTGTTTTTGTGATTAATCACTATGCTTTCATTATGTTCAATTTGTAACAATGAAAATACATCCTGCATATCAGATATTTACATTACGATTCATAACAATAGCAAAATTACAGTTATGAAGTAGCAACGAAAATAATTTTATGGTTGGGGGTCACCACAACATGAGGAACTGTATTAGAGGTTGGCGGCATTAGGAAGGTTGAGAACCACTGCTCTAGACACTAAAGTGTAAGACTGTCCTGGGAGCAGGGCGTGGTCCTCATGCAGCAGACAGGGAGGTTTGCATCAATCTCACTGTCACTACCACACAGGATATGGAAGTGGGGTCATGAAGGGGAAGCAGGCAGACACTTGCCCAGAAGAGCAGCCAGTGACCCCAGCAGCATTTCCAAGAGAAGGGCCTAGATTTTGATCTAGGACAGGGACACAGTTGGCTGGGAAGAGGAAGTCCTAGCCAGGAGGAGAGAGCAGAGTGAAAGCAGGGGGCCCCGGCTGGGGTTGGGGACAGCACAAAGAGTCCCAACAGAGTGGTGAGCACAGGCCACCGGATGAAGTCAGCCCAGGGCATGTATTTCCCGCTCAGGAGCCCTGGGAACAGGTGGCCCTCCCACTGTGTAACTATCTAGGTGGAAGGCAGCAGACCCTGCACAACAAATTGAGCTTTTGGGCTGGGAGGGTTCTTGGCCAGAATGAAGAGCCGCCCAGGAAAGGTCAGGATTGCCTATGAGCTGTGCACAGTTGACCTTTCCTGGTAAGGAAACGCCACAGGCTCGGTGTGATGTTCTTAGTTTCCAGATAAGTCAGGACCTATCCAAGGTCATCCCTGCAATAGTGTCTCTCACTCACCTACAGCCGGTACCTGGTTCTGGGTGGGAGAGAAGGGTTGAGTGTCAGCTTGTAAATGCCCTGGAATGGCTGGGCGTGCTGTGAGAGTGTGTTGTCCATTGCTCCTGCAACGTCCGTCCAAGCAGAATAAAGGCTGAGAGCCATGGCTGTGGCTGCTCCTTCCTGGGGTGCAGGCTCCCACTTGAACCTCTCAGTGCCTGGCCAGCTTCTCCTTGCACACCCACTGGATAGCCTGGCTCAGAGAGGTGCATCACCACTGTGTTCATAATCAAAAACAACAGGAGAAAGATTATAACTAAGTTATGGTAAATTCACCCAATAGAATAGTCATCTGACATCAAAAATGATCACTGGGAAGTTTCTGTAGCAACAGAAAAGTACTTACAAAGTGACACTAAGTAAAAAAATTCTTCACCCAAAACTGTTCAGTATAATTGCAAATATATGACAAAATAGGCTCATTTTAGAAACAAACATTACCCTTCTCCCAGCTCTCATCTCTCCTCCCCACCCCACCCCCAGGCCTTCATATAGGGAATGGAGATGGGCTCTGAATCCAAGGGTTTACTACACGGCAGGAAGGGCTCCAAGAAAGAGAGAACCAGCCCAGGACTGGGGCTGGATTCAGCAGAAAGGGGTGGGCAGCGACAGCACAGGCTCTTGTATGGCCTGCGGTCCTGTTCAGATAAGGACTGCTGTGTGAAAATGCTGTGTTTCAGTCCCTGTACTTACAGTTATAACACATGTGAACTCATAGTCTCCCGCTGCCCAGTGGGGTGGTTGCTATGTGCTCCTTTTGCAGATGAGAAAATAGCAGTCAGTGAGGTCTCCCAGCCAGGAAGTCGGAGCCAGGACTTGAACTCCAGGCTTAGTGCTCTCTTTGCCATTTAATTCTAGGCTCAAGACAAGAGAAGGGGGCTATCAGCAATTTTGTTTTATTTCAGATTTCCTTTTCTGTTGCATTATTGGAAATTTCTAAAGAAAGGAAGTGTTGGCGGCTCATTTGAGGGTGAGACCCAGGGGGATGTTTACAGTGCAAGTCCTTAGCTGCTTTGCTCTCTTCTTCAGGATGACATGGAAGCGTACCAGACCCAGAACCGCTTCCTCAATTCCGAGATCCACCAGGTGACAAAGATCTGGAGAAAGGTGGCTGAGAAGGAGAGGACCCTCCTGATGAAGGTGAGAGGTGGGACCCCTATTCTGGCTATCTCTCTTCCCGCCACCCTTTCAGTCTCCACTATCTCACGCGTCTCCCTCCCTCCTCATTACCTGTCTACTCTCCCTCCCTCCTCATTACCTGTCTACTCTCCCTCAAACTGTGCTCTGATTGCCACTCTGATCGCACAGGTACAGAGGGAAAGGCTGCAAAGGAAGGGTGTGCAGTGTGTGTCCCATGAGGTGGGACCCCTATTCTGGCTATCTCTCTTCCCGCCACCCTTTCAGTCTCCACTATCTCACGCGTCTCCCTCCCTCCTCATTACCTGTCTACTCTCCCTCCCTCCTCATTACCTGTCTACTCTCCCTCCCTCCTCATTACCTGTCTACTCTCCCTCAAACTGTGCTCTGATTGCCACTCTGATCGCACAGGTACAGAGGGAAAGGCTGCAAAGGAAGGGTGTGCAGTGTGTGTCCCATGAGGTGGGAGAGAGGTGGTGTGTTGGAGGGGCAGGAAGAGCCCATGTGGTGGCAGCAGAAGGCACAGGAGCAGTGTCCAGAGCTCCCTGTCCGTCCCCCGGGCACTGCTCGGTGATACACCTACAGCTCAGTATAGGCAGCCTGCTCTAGGCCTGGTGCCCTCGAAGCCTCATCGCAATCCTGAGGCAGATCTGTGTCATCCCCATTGCTCAGATGAAGCGAAGGCACAGAGAAGTTAACTTGCCATAGGCCACCCAGCCAGCAGTAGCTGAACCAGAACAGGACCGCAAGCCATACAAGAATCTCTGCTGTCTCTACCCACCCCTCCCCTCTTTCTGCTGAATCCAGCTCCTGCCCTGGGCCAGTTCTCCCTTTCCTAGAGCCTTTCCTGCCTTGGATTCAGAGCCCATCTCCCTTCCCTATATGAAGGGCTGTGGGTAGGGAGGGGAGGGGAGATGAGAGCTGGGAGAAGGGTGTGCTGCCTAAAGCTCTTCGGGCCTCAGGCCTCTGGGGCAAGCCAAGCCCAACCAAGTGGCCTGACCAGCCCCCACCTCCACCCCACCCCCCACAGTGTGCCTACCTCCAAGCCAAGAACTGCCAGGTGGAGAGCAAATACCTGGCAGGGCTGCGGAGGCTGCAGGAGGCCATGGGGAACCAGGGCAGCGAGTGCGCAGAGCTGCTCAGGCAACTCATCCAGGAGGCGCTGCAGTGGGAAGCCAGCGAGGCCTCTGCTGACAGTGTTGAGCTGAGCCCCATCAGGTGAGCCCAGCGGTGGCCAGGCCAGGGCTGGCTGGGGTGGCTGGGGGTCCCAGCTGCCCTGCTGACTGTGCGTGGCACTGCACATTTCTTACCTCCTCACATCTTCAGATAAATGAGCGTGTGGTTGGGATGGGCCCCGTTTTACAGCTGAGGTAGCGCAGGCTCAGAGAAGACAGCCCCTTGCCCAAGGCCACACAGCACATTAATGCAGCTGACCTGGGTCTGCCTCCAGAGCTCCCTGTGTTTTTTTCCACTTTCCCAGGATGCCCCCCAGAGGTTTGTCTGAAAGGGGAGGAGAAGGGATAAGCCAGCTGCCTCCCCTGAGCCCAATGGACAAGGACAGTTAAATGTAACAGGCGGCACTGTGGCTGGGAGCCCCGGTCTTGGAGCCACACTTGGGTCTCTCACTGTGTGACCTTAGACAAGTCACTTTACCTCTCAGAGCCTCATGTGTAGCCTCCACACATGTGTGTATGACCCTGGTTGCAAGAGTACTAGGGTTCAATGAGATAGCATGTGCAGAGCCCACACAAGGGCAAATGGTGAATAAGTGAACGGCCATCTGGAATGGATCCCCAGCCCTCCCACCTCTGGTTAGCGTTGATGCTGTCTCTGCCCCATCCATTTGGGGCTTACTGGCTGTGGAAGTGGGGTTCTATATTGACAGCGCAAGACTCCTTGGGCCGAAGGCAACATGAAGTAACAAGAGGATCCTTTATGTTTGCACAGAGTAAATGTCTCTTCACGCACTTGCTCTGGGCCAGGCACTGGGTAGGCCCCCAGCAGTTAGTAACATAGGGTCTCAGTGGGTCTTTATGAGGCAGAGCAGGCGTTTCTCTACCCATTGTACAGAGAACTGCGTGACCTGTCGGAGCTGCATGGCTAACCGGAAGTGAAACACAGGCAGGAGCCTTGCCCAGGGTGTACCCCTCCCCATTGCCCCTTATCTGGGGAAGGGATCTGCAAGGGGTTGCTAACACGGGCTTTTCCTGGCAGCGAGTATGATGAGTATGGCTTCCAGACGGTGCCCAACTACGAGGTGGAAGACCTGAAGCTGCTGGCCAAGATCCAGGCACTGGAGGTGCGCTCCCACCACCTGCTGGCCCACGAGGCTATGGAGCGACCCCTGCGAGAGCGCTGGGCTGCCCTGGGTGAGCTCGCACCCTCCGTGGAGCTCAAGCAGCTGCTGCGGATGGGCGTGTCCCGGGAGCACCGGCCTCGAGTCTGGAGGTGGCTGATCCACCGCCGCGTGCAGCACCTGCAGGCCCCTGGCCGCTACCAGGAGCTGCTGAGCCGGAGCCAGACCTGCAAGCACCCTGCTGCCCGCCAGATCGAGCTGGACCTGAACCGTACTTTCACCAACAACAAGCACTTCACCTCTCCCACCTCCAGCTTCCCCGACAAGCTCCGCCGGGTGCTGTTGGCCTTCTCCTGGCAGAACCCCTCCATCGGCTACTGCCAGGGCCTGAACAGGTGAGCACCAAGGCCCCAGTCCTTCAGAGCAGCCCCCTGTCTCTTTGGAGCCTCCCAGAACCCAGAGAGGTGAGCCCAGGAGGCTTGATATGATCCCCACTGTACAGATGGGGACAAGCAGTGAAGAGACACATTCAGGACAGAAGGCCAGAGCTCGGGGCTCCTCATCCCATGCGCTCTGCTTCGGTTTGTGCTCAGGGAGTGCCACCCCCAGGGAAAGCATGACCAGTCCCCTGGAGTTGTGTTGTGCAAACACAGCTCACAGCTTGTGGAACTGTCTGGGTCAGGGATCATTTGCTTCAAACAAAACCCACTCAGCAGAGCCAAAGGAAAAGAGAATCTGCAGATGTTACAGGGAACCTCACACAAGCCAGGAAAAGAAAATAGAGCTACAAACCACATGGTCATTGGAAGCCGAGGCAACTGCACAGCCCCAGGGGGCATCATTCACCCCGCATTCCATGGGGACCAGGTCCCTGTGATTGTGCAGCTGAGAGAGTACTGCTCTGCAGTCCCCCGTGGGGCTGCGTGGTCTGTGGCTTCTTGTTCCACATTTCTGCTCCCTTCTCTCTCAGTAGACCAGCCTCTCTGTCCATCATTCCGTGGACATTTAGGGCCTGGGGAGGCTGTCGGAATGGAGACATCAGGCCCTGAGCCTAGAGCCTTTCAATGGGTCTCCCTTCTGTCCATGCCCTCCTGTCCCAGATATAAATTCCCAAAGGAAGGAATCTGATGGGCCCAGCCTGGATTCATTTCTCCTTATACCAATACACAGAAGATCGGGGGTGGAGGTGGGTGCCTTGGTAGGGCTGCCCCCTCAGTACTGTGGGGGCTCTCAGGAGAAGTTGAACACTCTCAGATATTTCCCAAAGCAAGTTTTGACTCACTTGAAACATACATACACAAGCAAAATTTACATAAGCCATTCTGCTCTTTTTTCCGATAGTTGGTGTGACATTTATTCAACACGGATTAAACATTGAGACTGTCCCTGCTCACATGCAAATGGTTCCCATGGGTAGATATTTCTGATACTTTATTTCCAGTCTAAATTGAGTAAAATTGAGTATATACATGTACAATTACTGGGAATTCTGAGTTAAACGCAGAACAGCTCATCGGTGCTTGAAGAGGCAGGCAAACTCCTATAGCAGAAAGGGGTTACAGGTAAGTCACAAGGAAAGATGCTTCTCCCTGTGTGGAAAGTGGGGGGAGGGGCCCAGAGAGGGGTGACACACACACAGTATTTCTTTACTTCTTTCTCTGAATGCTTTTTTTTAAAAAAATGATTATTGGTATTTAGAAAAATATCCATGTGACTGCTTTAAATAGGAAGTTAATCGTAGTAGAACCTGTTTTAATATAGCGGGTGGTGCTTATTCTTCAAAGGCTCTTAAACCCTTTCACTTGTTGAGTGCCGCCATCTAGTGGTCACCCTGGGAACTGTGGAGGACAGACACTGCTTACTAGCCCTTTCACTTGTTGAGTGCCGCCATCTAGTGGTCACCATGGGAACTGTGTGTATCCTGTGGAGGACAGACACTGCTTACTACTATATGCAACAAATCCTGCCTGTTTAGAGGGTGATAGATATGATAATGATTTAGTGCTAATTTAGAGCAAACATTTTAAAGCCATTTCCCTTTAAACTATAAGCAGAGTGCTAAAAATTGTGTCCCATTCTCCCCCCCCACATCACCCCCCATTACCATACTACCTTCTTTGCAGACCCACTGGGCTCTAAATGCCTTAGGTTGGAGTCTGGCTGCGGCCCTGAGCAGTTCATAGGCCCTAGTTGGTAGCAGTAGCCTCTCATCACTGACCTTTTAATGTGCAGCAATCTGAGCCGATGCTGGCAACCAGCTCCAGGACTGAGCACATCCAGGCTCTAATGAATGGGGTGAGGTGGAGAGAACACCGGCATGGACTTGGGGAGCCCTGGGTTCTCTTTCCACTCTGCTTCCAACTGACCGTGTGACCCTGAGCAGGTCACTTTTGCTTCCTGGGCCTCAGTCTTACGGTGTCGGCAATGAATTAATCTAGATTGGTAGGACGTCGCTGCCTGGAGCCTTGTCTTGTGAGAGTTCTGAGGCAGCCTCCACACTCAGTGGGAAGACTGCCATGACCAGTTAGTTATGTCTGCCCTGGGCATAGTCAAAGGGAGTGGTGGCCAGGGTAGTGTACATTTGCTATCCCATATGACCTCTGAACACACCACTACCCTCCCCATCTCTAAGAGGGCAGGGCTCTCTCTTTCCCAGGAGACCTGTGACTGTCATCCACTCAGCTCAGACTCATGAGGGTTTGTACAGGTATTTTAGCCAGAATGAAGGGAGAGTCTTTCTGAGTCTATGGGAGGGATAAAAGGGGTTTTTTTTCTTTTGAGAATTGACCCTGTTTCTTTAAAAAATATGAACCTGAGAAGAGGTTGGAGGTCCTGAATCCAATCCAGTAAAAGCCCAGAGAAGCATAAACATCTGGACACTGAAATGTGCTGTGTGCCCATCGAGAATGTGAGCCTTCCCAACACTGCCAAGGGTGCTCATGGGTGCACTGTCAAAAGGGGCTCGATGCCCCCTGGACAGCCTTGGCCAGAAGGTCACACGAGGTGTCTTCACTGTAGGATTTCAGAGGCCTTGCTAAGAGATTGTGTATCATGGCCTCCAGAAGGGAGCTAGAGTGTGCAGCATGCCCTAAACATCTTTGAACACGTGACCTTGTGTCAACCCAGCATCCTGACAGACAAGGACATTTTGGAAAATGTATTCTTGAATTGGCCCTGGAGGACACATCAGGAAAGATGGGAGAAGTAGAGAAAACAATACTTTTTCCAGGCAGACTTCCCTGCTCAGCACTGTGGTTTTTCATTGCCCAGGATCCCATTGGAGCCCTGTGAAAACTTTAGGGGAGAGGGGAAGCAAATGAGAAAACGATCTCCATGTACTGAGCACCTGGTACATGCCAGACAGCGAGCCATGCACTGTCGGGGCTATCTTCTCACTCCAGATGCCTCTCAGCCCTGGGAGGCAGATAGTATTAATCCCACTGCACAGGTGGAAGGCTCAGAGAGGTTTGCACACTTGCAAAGGTCTCAAAGCCTGTGGATATTAAGATGAGATAGCTAGCCCACCTGGTGTGGCTCAGTGGTTGAGCGTCGACCTTTGAACCAAGAGGTCACGGTTCGCCGGGGCCGGTTTGGCTCAGTGGATAGAGCGTCGGCCTGCGGACTGAGGGGTCCCGGGTTCGATTCCGGTCAAGGGCATGTGCCTGGGCAGCTGATCGATGTTTCTCTCATCGATGTTTCTGACTCTCTCCCTTCCTCTCTGTAAAGAATCAATAAAATATATTTAAAAAAAAAAAAAGAGGTCACACATGCCCAGGTTGTGGGCTTGATCCCCAGTGTGGGCGTGCAGGAGGCAGCCAATCAATGACTCTCTCTTTATTGGTGTTTCTCTCTCTCCCTCTCCCTTTCTCTCTGAAATCTATGAAAATATGTTTGTTTTTCTTAAAGATAAGGATAGTTAACAGTTATAAAGAAAGCACTCACCACGTGTCAGGCACTGTGCTTGGCATTTAACATGTGTTAATTATGTTTATCCTCCTAACAGTCCTGTGATTATTAGGAGGCTGCTGAGGCTCAGAGAAGTTATGTAACTTGCGTAGGGTCACCCAGCAAGGAAGTGGCAGGACCAGGATTCACACCCAGGCAACCAGACTTCACAGCTCCTGCTCTAAGCTGATCCCCCTTGCTGTGGAAATCCCCGATGTAGTACTCCCCAAAAGCATGTTTGTCTCACCCCAGGTGCCAAAAACAGCAGCCTGGCTAGGGAGTGGGGTGGGGCAGGACTTCCTCCTGGGACCAGGGGAGCCACCTCTATCACTCCTGGCCTCCTTCCCTCCCACACAGGCTGGCAGCCATCGCTCTGCTGGTCCTGGGTGAAGAGGAGAGTGCCTTCTGGTGCCTGGTGGCCATCGTGGAGACCATCATGCCAGCTGATTACTACAGCAAGACGCTGACAGCGTCCCAGGTAAGCAAGGCAGGGAGGGGGCTTGGAGTTATGCAGGTCAGCCCGAGCTGTTCCTACAAGCCAGTGAGTCTCAGAAAAGTCAGGAATCTCCAAGAGGAGAGTGCCTTCTGGTGCCTGGTGGCCATCGTGGAGACCATCATGCCAGCTGATTACTACAGCAAGACGCTGACGGCGTCCCAGGTAAGCAAGGCAGGGAGGGGCTTGGAGTTACGCAGGTCAGCCCGAGCTGTTCCTGCAAGCCAGTGAGTCTCAGAAAAGTCAGGAATCTCTCAGGCCTCTATTTACCCCTCTGTACAGTGGGCCAGTAGCCCCTCACTGGGACTGCTAGGAAGTGCTGGTGAGCTGACGACCTTTAGAATTGTGGAGTCCCTGCCCACAGAAGACAGTTGTTATTCCAGTGGTGACATTAGAAATGGTTGGTTTTCTGGGGAGCAGAGAAGAAAATCTAGTGTCACTTGCTATTTGCCAGTAAAGCATTTCAAAATAGAGGTCAGGAAGGTGGAAGATGGGCTTGGGAGGATGGAGGTGGTGGTGATTCTTCACACACACTCATCCTTCCCTACCGTGCAGCACAGCTGCCTCCATCATCTCGCCTCAGCTGTCCGCTGAGCACAGGCTGGGCCTGGAGTCCAGTGAACTGAGAGCCACACTCTCCAGTGTCCAGCTGTGTGGCCTTGGCAAGTGAGATCACCTCTCTGACCCCAGGCTTGTCCACTTTTGAATGGGAGGAGCACTACTGCCTGGGTTTGTTGAGGGGTGTAAATGAAGCCATTTCAAGCCTCCCATCTCCACTCTCCCACCTCGCCTGCTCTCCTGCCTCACCCCTTGCCCTGTTCTTGCTGCATCAGCACCATCTGTTTTGTGGAGAGAGGCCACCTAGAGGGAACTTTCTCACTCCCAGCCCCAAACCCGCCAAGCCATTATCTGCCCGTCCATCCTGTTCTGTTTTCCTCCTACGATCCACCGATCCATCGTCCCAGCCCCAAACCCGCCAAGCCATTATCTGCCCGTCTATCCTGTTCTGTTTTCCTCCCAACTCCAATTCCTCCTCTGGGACATCCACCTGGTGCAGGACGCTCAGGAGGGATGGGTATTCAGGTGTGGAGTAGAAAGGTCAATCAGACGTAGGCGGTGAATCCGGTGAGGATGTTTGGCAGGAAAGCCCAGCTCACTGCAGCTTACAGGGGGGATTCTTCTCAGGTAATGACAAAGCTGAAGGCTCCTCCTGGCCCTCTGCTCTGCCATCCTGGCGTGGGCCTTCATCCCCCCGCTCATCATGTGGTCCCAGGGTGGCCGTGGCCCAGGCTGGAGGCAACAGAGGGTGGAAGGCAGGAGCTGGCTCCCTTTCCCACAGGCCAGTGCTGTTTCACTAGACCTCCACCCACTTGTCCTTTGATGACCTTGAAGTAAATCTCAGACATCATATCAGTTCATCCTTCAGAAGGTTCAGTGGCATCTTAGATTGAGCGAATTACCCTAGGTTTTGAACTGGACTCTAGGCCTTCACAGTGGATGGACCTGGGATCCTGGGGGAGGAAGAAAGGAAGGGGGGGAGGGGGGCTCGTGTAGCCATGGCCAACAGCTAACACCTGGAAGAGGACTTACGTGGAGGGGAGGGCTAAGAAACAGGGTTACAGGAAAACAAGAGCAGCAGGAGGCTTAATGGGCCTGTCTTGGAGGTGGAAGGTCAACCAGAAAAGAACCATGTCCTAGAGCAGTAGTTCTCAACCTTGGCTGCACATTAGAATCACCTGGGCTCATCTGAGGCCCAGAAATCAGGATTTTAAAAAGATTCCCAGGTGATTCTAATGTGCAGCCAAGGTTGAGAACCACTGTCCTAGAGCCTGGGAAGGAGCCAGTGCTGGGAGTAATCAACAGGGTCACGTAAAACAAGGATGGAGGCAAGACAGTGACTACTCGGAGAGGCCACTGGCAGCCATTGATGTCCAGGGCAGCAGGACAGTGTGACTCCCCCGAAACATGCTCAGAGCGTCTTGTGCCTCAGGCCCAAGTGGGTGTAGAGAAGCAGCTGTGACATCAGCTGGTACAAGCTGAGCTGCTTGGCTTGAGGTTCAGAGGATAAAGGGGCCAGAACTCCACTGTCCATGACCTTACCATCCCACAGAGACCTCCATGGCAAAGCCCGCACTGCAGCCTGGGAGCAGCGAGTGAAGTGCTGCTGTGCCTTCTCCCAGCCAGGCTGCCTGAGCCCCTCCGCACACACCCCCCCTCACCCCTGGGGGCAGGGCGGGGCCCACGCTGAGGCTCCAGGACTGTGTGGCTGGGTAGGGCGGGGGCAGGAGGGAAAGGAGGCAGCCCCTTCCCAGGGCAGCAGCTGACGGGCCCCCTCGTCCCCCTCGTCGGCCGCCAGGTGGACCAGCGGGTGCTCCAGGACCTCCTCTCAGAGAAGCTGCCCAGGCTGATGGCCCACCTGGGGCAGCTCCGTGTGGACCTCTCCTTCATCACCTTCAACTGGTTCCTCGTGGTCTTTGCCGACAGTCTCATCAGCAATATCCTCTTCCAGGTCTGGGACGCCTTCCTGTACGAAGGCACCAAGGTAGAGTGAGCAAGGGGCCCTGGGCAGGACCATCACCCCTGGGTCTCAATTCTGCCCCTGGAAAATGGGCGGACAGTGACCCTCTCAGGCTGAGAACATCTGCTGGGAGCCTGGCTTTGTAAATTATGTGCTTTGCACACATGAGAGGGAGCGGTTCTGCTTCCCAAGATGCTTCCTAAAGCTGGAGGTTCCTTTCCCGGAGAGGAAGCCTGAGCACGACCCAGGAGGCACATCCCTATTCTGTCCGTGGCCACTCCCGTCACCTGGGCCCCTCCTCGCTCCCATGGACCAAGCCCTGGATTGGGAGGTTGGCACTGGGTCTGGTCCCGGCTCTTGGGCAATCCTGGGCAGGCCCTCCCCCACCATCCGCCCATTTCCACACGGTGGTTGATGACATACGCACTGCACAGTTCACAGAACCCTGGGATTTGCCATTTCATCAGTTCCTGCTAGTGCCCCATGGAAAGACAGTGTTACCCCCATCAGGGTAGAGCCAGGACTCAGCCCCAATCCCCAAAGTCCAAGCTCCCCTCCCCCGTGGCCTCCCTGCACACGTCACCTCCAAGCTCTCAACCTCCGCAGCCTATCCAGGGCCTCCCACCATGGTGTGTGGGTTCTCCCTCTGGGGATAACCTGCCCTGGCCCCCCATGCCATTCCTGAGCCCCCACCTGGCCCCAGGTGGTGTTCCGTTATGCCCTGGCCATTTTCAAGTACACCGAGGAGGAGATCCTGAGGTTACAGGACAGCCTGGAGATCTACCAGTACCTGCGCTTCTTCACCAAGACCATTTTCAACAGCCGGTGAGAACCCACCCCTGCTCTCTCCACCACTCCCACCACCACACCTGCTCATATGTCACCTCCTCCAGGAAGCCTTCCCTGACCAGCCTATCCTCAGTGGGTCAGAGCCCCCATAGCCCCAAGCTTCCTCCTGCCTCTGTAACATATGACTTTGAGTCGAAACTGTCTTCTTTACCATTTCCTCCCCGCCCACCCCTGCTCTCTCCACCACTCCCACCACCACACCTGCTCATATGTCACCTCCTCCAGGAAGCCTTCCCTGACCAGCCTATCCTCAGTGGGTCAAAGCCCCCATAGCCCCAAGCTTCCTCCTGCCTCAGTACATATGACTTTGAGTCGAAACTGTCTTCTTCTTTACCGTATCCTCCCTTAAAGGTGAGCTCCCCAAGGGCAGGGGCCAGGGGCCCTAGCCATGAGGGCAGAGTGGATGCAGGCCTGCCTGGGGAGGCACGGTGAGTGTGGGTGCCCTGGGACACTGTGCTCTCGGCTGACTGTGCTCTCCCCCCAGGAAGCTGATGAGCATCGCCTTCAACGACATGAACCCCTTTCCTATGAAACAGCTGCAGCAGTTGCGGGCGGTCCACCGGGAGCGGCTGGAGGCGGAACTGCGGGAGCTGGAGCAGTTCAAGGCCGAGTACTTGGAGACTCGGGCAGCCCAGGACCCGGTGGTGCCCGAGGGTTGCACCAGTGAGGACGAGGGTGACGGGGAGGCCTGACGTGGCCACCTGTCCCCAAAGCCCTTCCATTCTTGACTGGCAGGCCAACAGGAGGGCGGCCTTGGAGCAGTGGTCCAGCCCCTGGAGCCCATCCCATGTGACGCTGGGCAAGGCCTTTCCGCTTCTGGGCTCCAGTCACCCCATCAGAACGCTGGGTGCTGGTTGGGTGCCCAGGGATGCTGCCCCTTCCTCACTTCCTCCTCAGAGCACTTTAGCACGCGGACAGGAGTGCTGTCTTTATAGGGAACTGTGAACATTCTCTAAGTTCTTCTGTATAAAACCATGTAAATACGAGAGATAGTTCACAAGCTTTGGAATTTACTCGATTCTCAGTAGCCACCTGTTCCTAGGTGAGCCCCACCTGTTCCTGGGTGAGCCCACCACACGGGCCTTCCCGGCCTAAGACGTCCCTGGCTGCTGGTCGGGTTCCCGAGGAGCTGGGCCCTGTACATTTAGGGCTTCTGTCTTCCTGGGCCAGAGCACCTTCCTGTGCTGGGACCCATTTTCTGAGCCTGGTATCTGTGCTCTCCTTTCTGTTCACAGCCCGAGGAGGGGTGGTCCCAAGGAAAACCCATGCCCACCATCAAGAGGACTGGGTGTGGTGTTGGGCAGAGAGCCCTGGGTCAGCTGTCCGACCTGATCTCCCACCACCAACTTCGTAGGCCGGGCAAGAAGAGTCACCTCCCCTCTGAAAGAGGTGGTTGGAGGGTGAGGACGAGGCAGTGAGAGTGTTGCTGCAGCTGCCCCAAGTCAGGGCTGTGGGGACTCAGCTCCAGTTCTGGGCTCTTCCAGCCCTTCCTCAGTCAGAGGCTCCACCGTCCCCTCCAGGCAGGGCATCCAGGCTGGAGTGACTGCAAAACCTGTGACTGTTTCCGGGCAGCCTCGGGCTCCTCAAGCTTCAGTGTGAAGGCCTGGGGGTGCGGGGCTCTCACAGGGAAACCCAGCTCTGATCTGAGGCTCCTGTCCAGGGCTGGGGAAGGAGACCGTGCCCTTCGCTGGGGACCAGGGACAGGCCCTCTGTCACCCACAGGTGTGCACATGGGTTGGCACACCAGGCACCCAGTTCCCCCACGCTGTGCCCCACACGACCCTGGGGAGGTGCGCAGGGTTCTTTCCCACCACATTCCCGGGGCTGCAGGCGGCCCGAGGACACCAGGCCTCCTGCGGATCCCCACACGGGCTGGACGGCCTTTCTCGTTTTCACTCTACTTTTCATATGCTGAGGCCCTTTTGTCACCAGACGGATCTGCGAAGTGTGATGGTGGTGTGAGGTTGGACTGGGGGGTCCTGGCTGTACCCCCAACAAGCTGGGTGCTGTAACCCTAAGGGCCGTCACTGGGGAGACAAGATGACCCTGGTGCTGAGCTGGTGCCTGGCACAGAGTACAGTGCCACTATGGGCAGGTGGTCTTTCCATGAGGAAACCCTCACTCCGAGGGCTCAGGCCTGCGGAGGCCCAGCTCCAGGAGAGACTGCAGCCTTGAAAGTCAGATTCCCTCAGCAAAAGGTAAACCATCCGGAGCAGACAGGAGCTGTGGCCCTCCTGTCTTCCCTCTTCACCCACTCCCCTTCCTCCCCTCATCTTCCTTCAACTCGCCCATGCTCTCCCTCTCCCCTCCCTCATTTTCCTTCTCTTCCTTCTCTCCACTTTTCTTCTCTCCTCCCCCTTCCTGCCCCCCCCCCCCATTTCTTATTCCTGCCCCCAGAGGAGAGGCTCTGCCCACTTGTGTAACCTGACCTGGTCCCTGGTCCCTGGTCCCTGGTCCCTACTAGCATCCTCTGAGCAGCTTTTCAAAAACACTGATGCTGGACCCGCTCAGAGCCTATTGTGGGGCACGGGCATTGAGATACACTGAGAGGTTGGGGACCATAGAACAGTGAGGACTGACTGATGGGACCTCCTCCAGCCCCAAAGAGGGGAGCTAGAGCCAGAGCCAGGACGGAGAGCTGCCTGGCATAGAGCACTGGCCCACTACAGGCCAGGCTCAGCTTACAGATGACGAGACAGGCTCAGAGGTTAACTTGGCCTAAGAGTGTAAGCCATGCTCAAGCCTAGAGGCCCTAAGGCAGAACCAGGGAGGGTTCCTCCCAGCTCCCCTCCCCCATGGACCCAAGGGAAAGGGCTGCCCTGGCCCTTGGCAGCCTCCTTAGTGGTGTAGGGCCTGTGGGGAGAGCCCCAGGCAAAGAAAAATGGAAGGAAACGCCATCAGCCTAACCAGCAGGCTGTGGCAGAGACAGTCACACTCCTAAGGTCTGAGGCTGCTGCTGCTCCTAGAGGGCGTTTGGGGCCCACCCCTGGTGTCAGGTTCCTGGCCCCGAACCACAGCTGTCGCCCCCTTCCCCAGGGGCTGCTGCCTTCCAGGGCTGGAGGATCTGATCCCTCACAGCCCCCACCTTCCTACCCCAGGGGATGGGACCTCTTGCTTAAGCACCCCACTCCAGACTAATACTAGACCCCAGCAAGCTGAGGTCCACAGCCCATTTTATAGGGGGGTGGGGGATGACCCAGGGGCCTCCCTGGGTCCAAATCCTAAGAAGAAAGGGAGTGCGCAAAGGAAGAGGAAGGGCCTGGAGGGCACTTGGGGAGGCCCCCCCACCCCACACTCAGAACCTCATCTCCTGGAGCTGCTGCCCTATTTCTCAGCTCAGCCTCCCACCGCACAGGACCATATGGTACAGAAAGTCCCAGTTGGGCAGGTAGACAGAGGACTTGCCACCCCCCCCCACCCCCTCACCACACACACACACACACACACACACACACACACACACACACGGTCCCTTACATGGCAGGTTAAACAAAGCAGGCCATGCTGACACCTAGGGAAGGAAGGTGTTGGTTTCCTGGCCGATCCCAAGCAGCAGTACAGCCCAGCAGGAAGTACTGGCAGATGGGCCCAGCTTTGGAGCCAGACCTGTTATGTGGTTTCCAGCTAGGGTTCCCCATGTGTGCAATACAGAGGATGCCAGGGACTAGCTTTCCTTAAATGGACACGGTTAAGGGGAGGGAAGGAGCAGGGAAAAGGACCCCCCCACACACATAGCATCTCCAAGAAGGGTCCCAGGGATGTCTATTGCAGAGGCCTCCAGTGGCCTCCCTCCTGCCCTTCAGTCCATATGCCCACGGCACCCACAGGTCCCTGTCAAACCAGCCTTTTCCCAAGCAGTCTCAGCCACCTACCTTCATGGCACAGTGTGGGATGGTGCAGATACAAGGCTGGCGGGGGCGGGGGGGGGGCATCCACAGAGCAGCTGGGTGGCTTCCTGGGGAAGCATGTTGGTGCAAACCTGGAAGGAAGGATGAGTGGGGTTAGACAGTGGGAGCTGATGCGGTAAAGAATTCCTAGTGGAAGAGAAGGTGTGAGCAAAGGCACAGAGGAGTATGTAAGGGGGTGGGGAGATGTTCCAGAGATACTGCCTAAGCCCAGGTGAGTTAAGACATTCAGGTGCCTTAGCCTTCAAAAGGTTATGGTGCCCAGCCCCCAGGTGTCATTAAAAATAAAGCCAACATTGAACCGTAAGTATAAGGAACTCCCACAACATTCTGATTTTCCATGTGCTTTTTGGAACATCAAACACTCAACTCTGTCGTGCTGGTACCAGAAGTGTGCATCCAGCAGGCCTACTGAGCAGGCCAGCTCAACAGTCCCAGGTTAGGGCCGAAGAGCGGAGGCTTTGCAGGCCGGACTGAGGGCTGGGCTTTGGGTGGTAGGCAGAGAGCCCATGGGCTCTGGGCAGGGCCGTGGCCCAATGAACACTGACTCACAGGCTTTGGCCCTGGCTTTTCTAAGGAGATCATCAAGAGACCACAAATACTTTGCGACTCTAAGCCTCAATTTTCTTATTATCTGTAAAGTGAGGGTAATCATAGTGGCCACATAAAGGAGTTATCAGGATTAAATGAAATATATGTAAGTTAGGACACAGTGTGCACTTTTAATCGCTCAACAAATGTTGAGTGCCTACTATGTTGCAGGCACTGTCTAGGCCCTGGAGATACCGCACTGAACAAAACAAAGAGCTTTTCTCAAGAGAGGCGGAGTGGCTATCAGCTTGGTCTTGGGAATCATTAGCTGTGTGTTCTTAAGCGAGGTATGTAACCTCCCTGGGCCTCGGCTTCCTTATATGTAAACTGAGTAACAGTGTAACCTCATGGGCTTGTGAGCTAATTAATGCACGTAAAGTGCAAAGAACTGTGGTAGGTGGTGGTATTCAAAGGCGGGGGCCTCCCCATCGCCTCTCCGCACCCCAAGCCTGCCAGGCTGCGCAGCAGCGCCCCCTCCTGGCTGCCGGGAGAAGGAAGAATCCGTCCGACACCCCGCAGTGCTCCCAGCCCTTTGGCTCCGGGCCGGGTTTACCTAGCGCTTCTCCTGCGGCGGGCTCTGCGCGCGCACTTCACCGGACGGGTGAATTAGGTCGTCTCATCTAATTCTCAGTGGCTGCCTGAGACAGACACGGTGACTGTTTCCATTTCACCAACGGGAAAACGGAGGCTCCGGGAGGTCGAGTCCCTCGTCCCGTCCCACGCAGCGAGGGACCGGCGGGACGTCGAGCCAGGCGGGTCTGACTGTCCGCAGCCTCAGCCGGTCGCCGGGGAGCCCGCCCCAATCACTGCG